GTGTCGAGAGTCTAGAAGAAGACTAACAGCCTCCCCTGCTCCTTTAGCACCGAGAGGAGCGTTGTATACGTTGAGTATGTATAGCGGGGGTCCTTGTGAGAGAGTAATCGAGGCGTATACAAGGTCTCGGCATTGAAGCGAAGGATTAATAGAGGTCTGCTGACTTGCTAGGATGCCGGCTCCTTTACGAATAAAGGAGAGTACTCTAGGAGGTCCAGCGTTCCAGTCACATATAGGTGCGAAGCAGTCGTAGTTCGGGTGCCGTCTTGTAATCTGGCGACTAATCTCTCGTAGATAGATATACGGTTCCTGGATAAGTACTATATCGACTCGCTTAGAGTGAGCTAGCTGTAGTACAAGTTCCTGGTAGCTGCTAGACTTGTGTACGTTGATTTGGAGTACTTGGAGGCAGTGGTTCTTTGTAAATCCTTGTCTACTCATATAGAGACTATGATAGTAGAGTTCCGGGTTCTTCGTACAGGGGGAACGTAGGTTGCTTCTTCCATAGAGGTGTCTTCAGAGGGTTCGTCTCTTTGGGGTGAAGAGGTTGTTGAGAGAGAGGGAGAGGGAGGGGGGTTAGAAGAAGGGACTAATCTCCCTTGTGGAGTAGCTGGAATAACCTGTTCCTGACTACTACAAGGGGAGTCGAGCTCGCTTCTAATCCGTAGTTCGTTACACGCTTGGTAGATATTCCTTCTATTCTCAGTTGAGGGGTGTGTTCCTGAGGTTCCTGGTCTAAGTGGACACTTAGGGTCGTCTGAGGGGTGAGGGCCACTACAGTGTAGGCATTTTAGCCTACACTGTGTGTGATTTAGACACTCTGGGTGAAATTCTTCGGAGTGCTGAGTAGTACCACAAAGACGACATCTTTGGTTCTTTCCACAAATCCTTTGGTTATGCCACCCCCAGCACCTAGAGCACTGAACGACTGTAGAAACCTTGGGAAGGGGCTTGAAGAAGACTCTTCTTCCGAGAAGAGATGTTATATCCGGGATAGCGTGGTCTTGGGCCTCTACTTCTTTAAAGAAGACAGTCCAAGTAGTAAAGAAAAGCTCGCTAGATAGCGATTTGCTTGATATATCGACTTTTGTAGGAGTTACTCCAATTCGTTCCTTTATTGCTGTAGCTACTACTTCGGCTGTAGTTGGGACAAGGGTTGAGGTGATTGCTCCTTTAGTATTGATCTCGACAGCTTCAATGCTCCGAGGGATCCCTGACAAGCGATATGCTGCCCAGTTTTGTGAGGATTCAATCTTGGCTACTGAGAATAGAGTCTGTATAAATGCTTTCTTTGTTGTTAGAAGGTCCTCAAGAGCTTTCTTGTCTTTAGGTACAATAGCGAATCCAGAGTTAACCAAGAGGACCTCTTGTACAAGCTCTTTACAGCCTATCTTCGGGTCACAGAGTGCAAGGAAGATAGCTAGGGCAGAGTGATCTCTTTCAGGGGAATTAGGAGGAAGTCGGATAAAGACCCTAAGGTCTGATTTAGCTTGCGAGTTCTTGTTCTTGTTCTTCTGTGTCCTTGAAGTAGTAGTAGAGGAAGAGAGAGAGAGAGGTGGGATTGTTGTTGCCGAGGTTGCGTTTTTAGGCGCTAAGGCACTCTTTGCGGTCCGTGCGTAGGAAGATTTTTCTACAGGAGCCAGAGGGGGGGAGGGGGTCAGGGGGGGCGTAGGGTCGCCTGTGTGTATGATTGATGGGGATTCCGAGGTCGGGGGTAGTGGGGGGGGTGTCCCTGAGGTGTATGCTTGGTGGAATGAGAGGCTGATGTTGGCTACTTGAGTACAAAAGGCTCGAAGGTAGGGCAGTAGGTCGGGGGGGGCTTTGTCGAGTACAGTGCTTAGGTGGCAATCTACAGCTTCTGCGGTTCCTCCGAAGAAGGTTTGGCCTAAAGAACTACGTTCAAGGGCTTTGGCAGTTGCTAGGACGAAGTGTTGTTGTATATTCGGGAGGGGGGGAATTGGGCGTGCTCCTCCCCTATCCGGACCTCTTTTCAGAGGCGACAGTAAGGCCGGAGGCCTCCTTAGAGGGGTCTCCATGGAGGGTAATCGGCTTGTTTAGTACAAGCAAGTGAGAGCAAGTGATTTAGAACAAAAAATTTGATCTCGAAAAAAGGTTGTTGTGGAAATTCTGAACCTATTAATATAAGTACTAGTATAAAGAGCACGAACAGCTCGGTTCGTAAATACTCACGGCATCCTAAATCTGAAACTAAACCAAGTAACCAAATCGCGAATTGCAAAGTCGCTTATATTATGGGCAGAGCCAGAGAAGTAGAGTCGGGTTAGTGTAAACTATTTTACAAGGTATAGGTAATTACAAGTCCTCTAGACTACGAATCTACAGGTATGCCCCTCTCTTGCGCGCGCGCTCTCTCTCTCTTACTGAAAATATACTAGGGCACGACAACTATTCAACAGCAAGGGCATAACGGTAAGGAATAGTAAGGATGCGACGTGAGGATATGACAGCATGGGAATAATACTAAGGGTAGTTAGTCTAGTTTCTTAGAGTCACGAGACAGTTTTTAACTCGTACCTCGTAAAACGTCAGAAACCCCTGAGACTCTTAAATTTAGATTGAATGGTAATAGGTGAACACGTCAAAATGCCTAAGCAAGGTTAGTTTAAACTTGCGTACGAGTAAAGTCTAAATGTAGGAGTGCAGGGGTAATAGAGATAGTATTAATAATAATCTAGTAAATATAGCTTTGATAGTTTGCAGTTTGGCTACTTTAAGGGTACACCCTGAATGGATACTGGTATTCCGAGCTGAACGGGCCACTACTTAATCCAAACGGTACTCGTGTCCGATTCGAATATATTATCGAGTATATACTTAATTAAACTCGATTTTAGATAGAGTACTCTACCGAATTGTGTGCACTCTACGTACTAATCCTAGTTAAAAAGGCCCTTCTAAATGGGGAAATGACAGAGAAGAATTTAACATCACTTCTAGTTTATATGGGACATACTGAATAAAGCCAAATTACTACGAAGTATTTTTGGAGTGGGGTTTTGCTTTACATTCGATGTGCGAGCCAAACGTTCTGATTTCTCGTTTCAAGCTATCATTCGTCAAGAGTACAATGCTTGAATAAGTATGGTATACCGTGAATGTACATTCCCAGCCAAATTGGCCGTAATATGTAATTTCTTAGCTTTTTGATTTGGCTATCCTTCGATGCCGGACGTGTACATCTAGGATTATAAGTTTGAAACCCCGTTGCGCGCCTAGGCATTATTCCTGCCAGTTCGATCACTGGATATAGCTGGCTAGACCTTACTTCTGACTTTTCAATATATGTGTGCTTTTTCCTTGGCGTAATAATTACATCTTTCCTAGTGTAGCTTCAGTAGAGAACAGGGTAAACCCTCCGGGCCCCCGTAAATGCTACAAATGTTATGCCTGAGACGAAGTACAAGCTGAGCTTTTAAGCAGAGTCGGAAAGGATGATACTTCAGACCGAGCATCGACATATAAAGAGCCTCGAGGTACGAAATTTCTCTCTAATCAATCTACCAATCTACCAATCCAATAACCACTACCTACCACTCTCTAAATCAAAACTCACTTCCTCTATACATCTACCAATCCGACATGAAGTTCATACACATTTTGTTGGCCCTCGCCTCTGTTTCTATCACGAGCGCGGCTTTACCTCCTCTCAATTGCGACTCAGGTAAATTATATAGTACATGTTCCACCGGTTGCGAAGACAGAAACGTATGAACATATTCCCCCCCCCTTCTCGCTACTTCTGTCCACATATCGAACTGCTTACTAATTCCATGGCAGGGTGTCCATAAATACTACTGTGATGCTACCACTTACGTATGTTGCTGCAAAAATCCAACCGATCCTACATGTGCAACAAGAGATCAAATAGGGTAATAGACCTGGCAGTGCAGTGCAACTGCATGGTTTTGCTGGACAGCATTATAAAGTGAACATTCTTTTGCGGGATATGGAGAAAGAAGTCCTCTTTGTGTAACTTTGGAAATGTATATAATAAAATATCAAACCGTTCCGCAAGAATATACAGGTTTAGTTGAGTCGAGTGAAAAGCAATATACCAGTCAGATTTGGGTTAGGGTATAGGGGAAGCGCATGATTTTAGTTTTGAGCCCACAAGGCACTTTGTAAGACATGTTCTGTGTCAAATTTGGAATCAATATAAACTCTGACCAGGGAAAGAGTGATATATGAATGAAACCACGCTTTCCTCAGTACTACGAAGTAGTCATTATCTAACAGATCTAGTCTATTTCAACCTGTAGGTAGTCTAACGAATCTGGGAAGAATCGATTGATAAGTCGGACGCGCAAAGAACCACCAACTATGCATTTTACCAACCAACCACCTACAAAATCTCAAACCATTTCAGGACAGTCACTTCCTCATTCGGAATCCTATGTCCAACCCCTTGACACGAATACACAACCAGCTGACTCCCATCCCCATATACCATCTTCGTGTATCCCGGTCTCGGAGTATCAGTCTCATTGTGTGAGAAAGAGACGCCGAGGACGTTTGTCCATTGTTTAATTTCCTCGTTCAGAACTGCGTAGGTGATTACGTCGTCCTCGGTTCCGTGCCATGGTTGCATCTTGGGACGGGGGTTGATGATGGGGAGAGGAAAGAATCCTGGGTAGGCGGAACGCGCGAGGTCGCCCCATTCTTGGGGGCTCTTGATAATCTTTCCTTGGATGCAAGATAGGTCGGCGGCTTGAAGGGAGGAGGCCGGTGAGTCTTTGAGGCATCCGTAGGGGGCGCCTGAGAAAGCTGAAAAGCTGGCGAAGACTTCGGGGTAGGCTGCTGCTAGGGTTTCTGGAGGTTCATGTTAGGTTGTGGCGGGGATGAAATGGTTGTTGTTGGATAAAAGAAGGAAGAAGGAAGCGAGAAGATGTGGATAGGTGAGATACTTACGCGACATCAAGGCACCACTACTCCAACCTGTAGTATACACACGCTTGGGATTTATCAAGTATGTAACAGGCGCCCAATGAACCATATTGACGATTGAAAGCGAATCCGATCCACCATAATGGTGCAAACTCTCATATCGATTGACGTCCCAGCATTTGTAATCCTTCACGGATTCCGGGTAAATGACAATGAAGCCCAAGTTATCGGCATATTGTTGATAGTGCGAAAATTGGGACTCCTCAAGTGCACTACCGCCGCATTGGTGGATCCGAGATGAGATGATTAGCTCCGCCGTGACGGCTGTTTTTGTGTTGAGGGGGGAGAGTTACTGCAACTACAATTGCGGGAAGTAGAGCCAGCCGATCGGGGACGTAGATGTACATGTTTGCGTGGCCTGGGTTGTTGCCGAAGTTGAGGATTTGCTTGAATTCAGCGGTTAAGGTCAAGGACACCAGAGTAACGAGAGAAAGGAAGAGCGCAAAGGCTCGGGTAAGAGAAGAGAAGAACATCTTGAGGGAAGCCGCCTGCTTTCCTGTACTGTAATTTATGGCGTCGTCTTCCAAACTACAAGCAAAATCTTGTATGAAGATTGAAGGGAGAGAGGTGACAACCACCCACAAATGGAGGTACTTATATATCAGCCCAAGGACATTTATTTAACTCATTGTGTACCTCGGCATGACTGATTAAACTTTCCGTTATTGACGCTCCTTTGCCCCGCTGATAAGAGAATGTTAGGGTTAGGGCCATGAAACACTTTCATGTATTATTGAAATGGTATTTACAGTAAGAAGAGCCAGCGTTCGCTATTCACCCAATCCCACACATCCTTGCCAAAGCCAATATATTGAAAGTGAACTGTAATGAATGAACATGGTAGGCAAGGTTCCCTCAGCAAATGGAAACGGTGCATTAAAGGGTATTACAACGGATTATTAGATCAAGTGGTTGAGCTACCCAGTTCATATTGTGCGACAACTAATTCCAGAAGTCGGAGAGGCTTCATGTCAGAGCGTTAGTCGTTAGATTCTTACTCCAATCTTCATTGGCTTTGTCCTGCTTGTTTTTGGTCTGGGTGTCCGTTCAATTGGCGAACATAATAGACATTCACTAAGAGACGTGGTCACTACTCTATATACATCTCTCAAAAATAATATTATCCCATAAGCCTCGCACAATTAAATATTTATACTTCTGATTATTCTAGGCATCCTAAGACAATAAAAGACAATTATTTTACTTATACTAGACGTTTAGTATAATAAATTTTTATATAGTATGTACAGAGTAATTACCAGACAGCTTACATGAGAGACTTGGCGAAAGGGTTCTACGCGGGGCTCATGAACACAGCACACAATAAGCGCGCAAGAAAAAAATATGCCACTTTAGTATCAGCAGGGAATTCTCAGCGGCATCAAATCACAAAGTACAAAAAGTGCTGGTGATAGCCAAGCGAGCCAAGTCGAGCAGATCATATACAACTCGCTTAGCGCAGGATCTGAAAGAAGCGAAGAAATCCAGATAATAAATAGTTTCTTACGCAATAACGAGTTTAACCATGATAGTGTAGAAGTAAAAGGCAAGAGATATTCGTGAGTGTTCGCCATTATTGGCGTGCAACGCACTCACGATCCATTTTCGACCATCAAAATAATCAAAATTCAGCTCGTCTGGTGCCTGAGGTTCATTTGCCAATTTTTTGGCCAATCCTTTCTGTAGCTGGTGGTTTACGTTTGTTCTTCTTCTTTCCTTGTAGAAAGAGTGACCCTGAACTAAACTTTGAGTCTCTCTTGACGATATGTCTCCCTCCACTCCCTCCTCTCTCGACATATCATCAGCCACTCGCCAAGAGACGGGCCAGAGGTGGAGGGCAGGAGCTATGACAAGTCCTCAAGTCCTGAGTAGGACGAGATCGTCATAATAGCGACAGACACGGAGAGAAGGCCCCTCAGGAACCGAGAGATACTTATATAGCACTAGGAGCTTGGGTGGTGGTTCCACTTGCAATGCCTAACCAAAGTGTAAGAGTAAGAAATACAATTGTAATGTTACTGTACCTGCACGCAGGACGTGAGGAGAAGCTCGTGCAGTGTGTGATGTGGAAGTGACAGACTTAGCTATTCCCGAGTCCCCTTTTACACGGTCGGGATTTTCGAGGATATCCAGTCAGGTTGTGAGTATGCATGCACCGTAGAGTCCAAAGCAACATGGAACTCATTAAGGTATCCTAGCCCCCAGAAGAAACTAGCATCTTGTCACGAGAAAATCAGCAAAGACAGCAAGAAGCAAAAACAAAATAACTTCAAAAGACCAAAAGGGTGTTCACAACTCGATTGCTTACACCAAAACCACTCTACTATATCTAAAATAGTATACTTGATACACCACCCCCACCAGAAGAATAGAACCGCTTCCATCCATATACTGTAGTAGTACTACTGTAGTAATCATCATCACTCCAACGTGCCCCCAAAGAAACAAATGCGCCCAATGTGCTGGTCCGTCTAGGGAATGCTTTTATAACACAACAAGATACGTTAAACGAGATGAGACACTTCTGCCATACAAAGACTCCTAATCTAACAATGTTTCCAATAAACCAACTCCTCATAATGTCTTGTTGCTGTTCTACCTGATTCGATTGCTCGCGCGCTATTGATCTGTCCTTGTCGTGGGAAAAGTGATCGGGAAAGAAAAAAGAGAATGAGGAAAAAACATTAAGTAAACCACTTCGCATCGCTTCTCTTTCCAATACGACCATGATTTTCGCGCAATCCAATCAAAAGACATTAGAATGATCCAAGTTTGAGCGATCCAAAGTTTTAATAAAGACATAAGTTCAATCAGCAAGAAGCAAAGATGCGGATTACGAGCTTTGGCTAAGACCCGATTTGCCGGGCCCTTGAGCTTTTTTGAGAGCGCGAAGTTCCTCTTCGACACGGCGTCTCTCATTCTGTTCGGCCTGAAGTATGTTAGTTGACGTTCAAAATGGGTATTGGCAATATCAATTGGAAGAGAAGGGAACTTACCCTCAAAGCTTTGGCACTCTCAGCCCTGGTATCCCTCATCATCTTCTTGAACTCATTCTTCAGAACAGTCGTACTGGTATTACCGGCTTGTGGCGCACCATCAACACCAGGACTCTTCATACCAAGCCATCTGACCTTTTCATCGCTGAGTTGAGCCTCAAGCTGCTCTCTCTCATCACGCAGCTTATCAACCGAGGCTTCGAGTTGCTCGCGCTCCTTCTCCCACTCGATGCTGGCTTTGGTCATTTGCTCGTATTCCTCGATTGTTTCCTCGAGCTCCTTCTTCAGAGTTTGCATCTTTTCTTCCATCTCGGGATTGGCGGCGCCCTTGGATTTCAATACCATAATCTCATCCGAGAGAGCGGCATTCTTTTTAGAAAGGGTATCAATCTCCTTCTGAATAGCAGGGTTGGCTGCAACTTCGGCTGCTCGTTGGGACCTTGAACCATAAGCGCCGTCAAGTTCGGCCCTGGCAATTGTTACTTCTGTTTGTAACCCAGCAAGTCTCATGTTCATGTCGTCCATTTCCTTCTCCTTCTCCACAACCTGTAGCTCTTTCTCTCTAGCATCCGCCTCGAATATTGCCTTGGCTGTGGCAGCTGCAGCCACTTCCTGGGTCAGATTTCTAATCCTAGATTCATAGTCACTGATACGGCTTTGCATTTCGGCATTGCTGATTGAATGGTCGTCTTTCAACTCTTGCAGCTTCTCCTCCAAGGTAGCAATTGTTTTGTTTGCTTTGTCGAGATCTTGCTGTGCGGAGCGTATCGCAGCTGACTCATCGTTTGACCGAGCTTGATCCCGTAGGGAATCTTTCTGTTGTGATTCATCCAATTTCTCCATGACTTGGCTTAATTGCTCCCGCACTTTGTCCGACTCCATCATGTTTCTCCGCAGAAGCTCTTGCATTCTATCCAATTCCTCTCCCTTCCTCGTCAGAGCGGCATCTTTAGTTGCGTCTGACTGGTTGTTCAGTTCTCGTTGCTGTTTAATCTGTCGTTGCAAAACCTTCTTCTGATCCTTCAACTTTGTAGCTTGTGAATACAGCCACTGTACTTTGGAAGAAAAGCCTTGAACGGAAAATTGCTCAACTACTTCAATATCAGATTCACCGGAATCGTCTTCGTCTTCAGGGAGATTATTCAAAGTTCGATTCTGCCTTCGCTCCAACTTTCGTTTACGTGCCTCTTCCTCGCCAGATAAAATGATCTCCCAGAGACCCATCATCACCGTTTCCATCTGCTCCTGGTTTCCGGTACTTTTGCTTGTCAAACTCTTAGACCTGGATATTTCTCCAGCAACAGCATTGATATTATCCTTGAAGTAGGATATTTGAACATTTAATCCATTTCCAGTGACTTGAGGGGGGGCCGGACGAAGCTCATCATAGGGTTGTAAAACGCTATACAATTCTCGGTTCAAATCCTCCACCGTTTCTTCAATTGCTGACTCTGAAACGTTGCCTTGGTTCGATCGTTGATTATGCTCTCTACCCATGGTAGTGATGCCTTGCTCCAAATATTGGAGAGAATCCTGCAAAGTGTCTCCGGGTTCTGTAGGCTGACCATTACTATTCACTTTACTCAGAGGGGGCTGCCCTAATCTGGACTCTTGCTGCGGATTGGCCTGGATGATGATTTCCCTCAGCCTGGAATTCAGCTGTTCTAATTTCTCTTCCGTCTTCGTAATCATTTGCATCTGCTCCTTTGAAGGGCCAGTGCTTTCTCCCATCAAGTCTCCAAAGCCATCGAGTCGATCAAAAGAGCGGTAAAGACTTCTCTCGTCGAAAAGAAGTTCGTCGCCAGGTGCAGGGTCGAAACTATTCCTAGCATTTGGATAGGTATACATGCTCTCAGGACTCCCTGGCATGCCTCCAGCCATCTGGCCACCATTCTTTGAAGTAACCTTGGGGCCTTTGTGTGTCATCTGTAGAATACCCGCAGTGTGCTTTAGCAGTTTCGTTTGTGGTTCCATAAGTCTCTTTTCCAAAAACCATAATTCAGCAGCTAATTCCTCACATTTCTTTTCGCTGGCGCGACGCTCTTGGAGGGCTTCGTCCGCGTGCTCACTGCTACTGTTACGGCTGTGAAAACTCATCTTCTTGTTGCCGGTAGGTGAGTATAACTTTGACATGGATTTGGCTGCATCGCGGTATTTGGATTGAATTATGAGGTTCTGACGTGCTTGCTCTATTCGCTGAGTGTAGATTTTGATCTGTCTCTTCAAATCATCGACCTCGTCCTCGGAAAGAATCTCGAATTCCATACTGTCGCCCATCGCGGTTTCGACAAGAAGGTGAACTTGTATCGAATCATTCAAGTTTAGAAGGGTGGAACTGTGTGGGCGGGCGGGGTTCATCTATTTTCAGGATCAGTACTATATGCAACATCTGCCAGATTGGGTTTGCCCGAGTATTTAGTACTTACAGGATTGTACAATGACGCTTCTCCCTCGAATCCATTTGAGATGTCTGGCCGGTAGCCGTCTAGTATGACCCTCGCAGGCGGTTCCGGGGCATTGGACCCATCAGACTGTCCCCCACCTCCTTCATTCCGCATTCCATAGCCACCTTGAGGCGCTCCTCCATATCCAGCATCTTGGACTGGGGCGGGAGCAGGAGCAGGAGGAGGCACCTGTTTTCTCGAGAATAGGCCGTTCATTTTCGCGTTGTAGAAAGCCCCTTAGTCTCAAAGCAGCCAACCACCCGTAGGAATTGAATCGATCCGCGGTTGTCTGAGGTTACCGCATTGTTTGAAGTCGGTTCTAGATTGGTCGCAAGTAAGGACGCAGTAGTCGGTATATATGCCTTTTCTGCCGCTTCAGTCGTACCTGTACCCGAGCCGTCAAAATCGTGTTACCGATTCCTGCGCCGTGGGTTTTGTGGTTGATGCGTTCGTCCTCCCGCTCCTTTTCAATGCACTGCCAATCTGGGGGGACATGTGTCGCAGAAGTCGATCAGCCAGAAACCCAAAATGGTACGGAAACTGGAACGGGAATGGGAATGTTTGTGGTTATTTCTTCTCGTGGAAGACAACTTGTTCTACCTAGACATGGTGGCAGGCGGAGGCAGGATACTCCAGTATTTTACAAAGGGATCGACAATCGGGAGGGCATTGGCACATTAAAGTTACCAATCGTTGAGGCTTGCCAGACGCAGCTAGTTGCGGATCCGTTGAAAGACAGGGGTTATGCAGGGTCTCTCAATTTAGCCAAATCCTCCTATTGGTTACAATTCTCGCTCGTTAAGGGAGGCTGCAATAACTATTTAAAGGGGCTAAGCTTAAGGCATTTATACGGCAATATATCAGGGCAAATTGGCATATATTCACGTCAAATTTATGAACTGTACGAGATTCTCAAAATAGAACTGCTTTCGTTGTTGGTTTACAACTGCACTCGCCACTCTTGACCAATTATGTTAAAACTGCGGGACTTGTTGGCATATGCACATTATTTGGGCGCAGTCTAACTTTTGAGCTACATTGGTTGAGTCAAGAAATCCAAAGGGCGGAGTCTATCCGGATTACAAAATCAGTATTTCAGAATAGGGATATGATCTACGATTGAGCCTTCCAAAGACTTGCACAACTTATAATCAAAAGAGTGTGTTAGTGGAAGTGCTATGTGCATGGTACCGGCCTAACCTTTTGGTGACATTACAATCTAGAGTTCTAAAAGACTGATTGCAGAATCTACCGATGAAGAAATGATTAAATCAACGCCCCAGCATGTGGCTTGTCTCATATATGTACAGTACAACACTTAAATAATACATTGAAACTATAATTACATATTACATAAGACGCCAACTGCAATCGTATACACACAAGAGATTATGAGAGATGCCAGTAGTATGAAGATTGGAAGACTGAGCCTGCCAGTTAAGGAGTGTGTAAGTGCAGAAGGAATGAAATCATAACGGTGGGAGGAAGAAAACCGAAAATGTGTACTTGCAGTGAAGAAAAACACAAATACAAGTAAACAGTCTTCAAGAATACTCGGGTACATACAGTAGTCAGCTGTCCGTGGCAAGACCCTTGGACACAATTCAACACCCAACCCTAGTTGAGAAATCACCAAGCCACCCGTCAGAACCAACAGCAACATCACCTGGGCATTCCCAGTCAAGCCCAGCATTGCATAAAACTCTCCATTCACGTGCTAGTGCGTGGCTAAGTTTTAGACCAGCAGAATAGAACAAAAGCGTGGCTCGCGATGTGCAACAAATCCCTTCGGACCACTAAGGAAAAAACATAACGAAAACTACACGTGGCTCACCGACAATTTGCCCCTTCAAAAAACGTGGCTTGAATTTCACGATATGCAGCAAAAACCCAAACGGAGAAGTGGCGAAATGATTGTTGGTTATTTGAGAGATTGATGCTATAAAATGTCGTAGATTTGATGAGGAAGAGGAAAGTATAGATGAGAAACGAGTTTTGATAATGATGGAAACGGATTTTCAACGACAGGTTTGAGCTGTGGACTGGATGAGAGAAAGTTTGGATCTGGAGTTTGGGTACAAACTAAATTTTTTATATTATCTTTAACTTGTTAGAGTGATATCATTAGAAATTCGATGGATGCCCTTGAAATGATTGAAAGGGTTGCGAGAAATGGCGGACAAGGTCAAGGTGTCTTAGGTGGGAAGCAGACATCTCTCCAAGAAACCCACCTTGGCACAATTGTGTCGAACGACTGATGAGAAAAAGGCGATGAGAGTCAGATACACCGTTCCCTTCCTCCTCCCAGATCCTTTGAAAAGATATGCGAGTTTTTAGACAGTTCCAAGCCCCAGAACGGCGCCTGGGGAAATATCCGATCTTCTCGGAATTCGGCCACCCCGGTTTTTGATACAATGTCACGAGAACGAGACATGAAGGTACAAGTTTTGGAGTAGGAAAGGTAGTAAGCCGTTGTATAAGGTTAAGCGATACCGTAAAGGGGGTTAAATGATATCTGTATGGGGTAGGTAATGAATGAATGAGTGTACCTGTATAACATCCCCGTTGTTATATTGGTGCCTCATAAACGAGGCGTCAACTTTTGAGGAAGCTACTGTCGGGTTAGCTCCAAGGTCTACCGATGACGCCTAACAGCTTCAAGCAAACCACACCTTCAGTATCCCACCATCGCAGATAGCCATCTTGCCACAAAACGCCTTCGTAGGAGAATACGGGATACACCCCTTTCTTCGCGATCATGGCGCCCAAACAGGATACCATGTTCCGCTCTGCGGATATGAGCATGGTCCAGTTGTACGTTGCCAAAGAAATCGGCCGCGAAGTCGTCAACGCATTGGGAGAGTTGGGCCAGGTTCAGTTTCGAGATGTATGCATTACGATTGTCAATTCAGAACTTGGAACTAATTTTCATGGCAGCTTAACTCGGATGTGACCGCTTTTCAGCGGACTTTTACCCAAGAGATCCGACGACTGGACAATGTTGAGAGACAGCTGCGTAGGTAGCACAAGTATCATGCAATCCATACACGCTGACCATAGCAGGATACTTTCACTCGCAGATGGAAAAGGCCGGAATCCCTCTCAGGAAGATAGATTTCGATGTCGATACCTTGGCTGCTCCTTCAGCGTCCGAAATTGACGAACTTTCCGACCGAAGTCAGAGCCTCGAACAACGAGTCGCCTCCTTGAACGACAGCTACGAAACCCTGAAAAAGAGAGAGGTGGAGTTGATTGAATGGAGATGCGTACTTAGGGAAGCTGGACAGTTTTTCGATCGGGCCCATGGAAACGTGGAAGAAATACGAGCATCGATGGATGACGACGATGCGCCTCTCCTCCAAGATGTCGAACAAAACACTTCAGGGCAGAATGGGCAGAACGGCGATGCGGAACGTTCATTCTCAGTCATGAATATTGGATTTGTTGCAGGCGTCATTCCAAGAGACCGAGTTGCAGCATTCGAACGTATTCTTTGGCGTACACTCCGTGGTAATCTCTACATGAACCAGTCTGAGATTTCCGAAGCTCTTGTCGATCCCACGAATAACGAGCCGGTCCACAAGAATGTATTTTTGATCTTTGCACATGGAAAGGAGCTTATTGCCAAAATCCGTAAGATTTCGGAGTCTCTAGGTGCCGACCTTTACAGTGTCGATGAGAACAGTGATCTTCGTCGGGATCAAATTCATGAGGTCAACACACGTTTGGGAGATCTTGGGAGCGTACTCAGGAATACCAAAACCACTCTTGATGCCGAGCTTACCCAAATTGCTCAAAGTCTGGCAGCTTGGATGGTACTGGTGAAGAAGGAGAAAGCTGCATATCAAACTCTCAATTTGTTTTCATACGATCAAGCCCGCAAAACATTGATTGCTGAAGCATGGTGCCCCTCAAATTCGCTTCCTGCAATCAAATCAACTCTGCACGATGTCAATAATCGGGCTGGACTCTCCGTCCCTTCTATCATTAACGAGATCCGAACCAACAAAACTCCACCAACCTATCAAAAGACCAACAGATTTACAGAGGGGTTCCAAACCATTATCAATGCTTACGGAACTGCAAAGTACCAGGAAGTCAATCCTGGTTTACCAACTATTGTCACCTTTCCATTTTTGTTCGCCGTCATGTTTGGTGATTTTGGACATGGTTTCCTTATGGTTGTGGCAGCCGCGGCAATGATTTATTGGGAAAAGCCACTGAAGAAGGTTCGAGACGAACTGTTTACCATGGCTTTCTATGGGCGTTACATTATGCTCATGATGGGTATCTTTTCTATGTACACCGGTCTCATCTACAATGATGTCTTTTCCAAGGCATTCTCTATCTTTCCTAGTGCATGGGAATGGAATATTCCTGATGGATGGCAAGAAGGACAGACTGTTACGGCATCTCTCAAACAAGGTGGTTATCGCTACCCCTTTGGTATTGATTGGATGTGGCATGGCACGGAGAACGACCTTTTGTTTTCCAACAGTTATAAGATGAAACTCAGTATTTTGATGGGTTGGGTCCATATGACCTATTCGCTATGTCTGTCTTACATCAACGCACGTCATTTCAAGACACCAATCGACATTTGGGGCAATTTCGTCCCGGGTATGATTTTCTTTCAATCGATTTTCGGATACCTTGTCTTTACCATTATCTTCAAATGGTGTATTGACTGGAGCGCGCCAGGTGCAGGATCACCCCCTGGTCTCTTGAACATGTTGATTTACATGTTCTTGTCGCCGGGCACGATTGATGAACAGCTGTATGCTGGTCAAGCCCCAATCCAGATTTTCCTTGTACTCATTGCGATTGTTCAAGTTCCGATATTACTCTTTCTGAAACCGTTCTACCTCCGATGGGAGCACAACAAGGCTCGTGGAAAGGGATACAGAGGAATTGGCGCAAATTCCCGGGTCAGTGCTCTCGATGGAGATGACGAGGATAGCAATACCTTGGATGGAAGAGCCAGCTTGCTCAGTGACGGCGAAGGGGTTGCTATGATCACGCAAGATGTTGGAGATGAGGAGCATGAGGAGTTTGAGTTTTCCGAAGTCATGATCCATCAAGTGATTCACACTATTGGTAAGTCTCTCGAGCGTAGGTGTCAAGAAAGGCCATGCTGACCAGTCTAGAATTCTGCTTGAATTGTGTTTCACATACGGCTTCGTACTTGCGTCTCTGGGCCTTGTCTCTGGCACATCAACAGCTTTCTGTTGTGTTGTGGACCATGACTATTGCTAATGGTCTTGCTACAACCGGACCTCTAGGAGTTTTCATGGTGGTGGTGACTTTCTATGCCTGGTTCTTCCTTACCATTGCCGTTCTGGTGGTGATGGAGGGTACCAGCGCCATGTTACACAGTCTCCGTCTGCATTGGGTGGAGGCGATGAGCAAGCACTTCTTGGGTGACGGTATACCCTTTGAGCCATTTTCATTTAAGCAGATGTTGGAAGATGACGATGCGGCGGCGGATATCTCCTAAAGCTGGACGTAGGCTTTGGTGACTATTTCTTTTCCTCACTTAGATTGCTTTTTTGTAGAATTACCTATATTAGGACTGTAGTGAATTAACTTTATTGTACAAGTAGCACTTCTGGATCCATTTGCCTACGTGGGTTGGGCTGAACCAGCTGATAGCGTCAAGTCGTGATTGGGATGCTAGATGAGAGAATGGGCAACTGTGATTCGATGTGTTGTCCGACCTGCATTGTGAGACCAGGTAAATGGCGCTTCTTGAGATGGTGGCTCCAATGAAGCTTCATTTTGTTTCTGGGATACTCTTTGGGTCTTCTGTGACGAATCTGAGGGTGAGTGGTGAGTGTATGAGTACTCGGGATCAACATAGGCCGTATGTAGGTAGGGATAGGTACAGTATGGGATGTGTGATTGTTGTGATAATAAGAAATTGCCTCTTCACCGCGGGAATTGTAGGGAGTAGCAAACATCGCAACTCTACCAAGCATCTCGCACTGCAGGTCGTATCCTGGAATCCCGGAACAAGCTCGTCGTAGTAGTGAATACCCCATCCGTCCATTACTGGGCATTGCATTACCTCCATACCATAGGTTGTGGCATTGTGCAGTGTCTTGAGGGCACAAGATGGCGTACTGGTACAGGTACAGTAGCAGACCTTGCACAATCCCACAAATTTGACTCCCCCGGCATCACGACCCCTCGCTTGGTCGAATCCTTCCCCTCTTCATCCCACTTCGGACTCGCCGCCTCTAAGAAAACAGCCTTTGCAAGCCTTTGATAAATAAGAGCAAACGCCAACCTGCACACTCTCCCCTCTTCTCCAGATTTTGGCAATCATCCGCATCCGCATCCATACCGATACCGCGTCCACCTCCGCATCCGCAATCATGTCGTTCAACAACAGAAAGTTTAGTATGAACCGAAGTTCGGGGGTTCCTCGAGAGTCCACTAGACTGAACAGACGATTCAGCACCCACGAACCCTCATCCAGCGGTCAGTAGCAGTGTCCAGTATCCAGTCTTGGAATTCCCTCATCTGTGCCTTCCTCTGTCTGTCTATTGTGGACGTTAGCTGTATGCTATGCTACGCTATGCTGTACGAGTACTGGTCTGCCAAGCCGACTACTCGTACACAGCTATGCTACGCTACGCTACGCTACGTTACCAGTACTTTGGACTTGGGTTGTCGATGGCGGCTCAACGGTAACGACCTGCAGGGTCCACGCCAAGAGACCGTCGGTGGTGTTGCGATAGCGATAGCTAGTATTAGTCCTAGCTCTCTCAACCTTTGCTGATTACTTATTCTACAGAAACCAACTCCAAGATTCATCGTCAATTTCGAAATGCCCACGAAGGCCACAAATCCCACGCCGGTCTCGACCCCACTCGTGCCTCCACCGGTGTCATCTGGTGTACCGAGAGAGCCTACGAACATGGTTTCTTAGATGAACCAGAGAAATGGGCCAACTTGGGTCAAGGTGCTCCAGAAGCAGAGGATGATATCGAGGGTAGTTTTGAGAGACCAACTTCGATCGATGTCACCATGAATGGAAGAGAATACGGCCCGACCGCCGGTATCAAGGGCCTTCGTGCTGCTGTGGCCAACCTATACAATGCTCACCACAGAGAGGGCAAGGAGTCACAATACAGCTGGGAGAATGTCTGTATTGTTCCTGGTGGAAGAGCTGGTTTGATCAGAATTGCTGCTGTTTTGAACAATGCCTATTTGGGATTCTTCATTCCGGATTACACGGCTTATAACGAGATGTTGTCGCTTTTCAAGAACGTTGGTCTACCCCGCCTCTTCTTAATTCATAACTAACAAGACAAGTTCGCCGCAATTCCCTCTCCTCTCGCAGAAGATGATGGCTACCATATTCACCCCGACAAGATCGCTGAGGAGATTGCTCGTGGTACCTCCGTTATCCTTACCTCGAATCCTCGTAACCCGACTGGAAAGGTCGTTAAGAACCCTGAGTTGGCTGAGATTCAAGATATTTGCCGTGACCGTGCTACATTGGTTATGGACGAGTTTTACGGTGGATACAACTACACCAGTGACTGTGATGGTACCTCCATCAGTGCCGCTGACAATGTTGAGGATGTTGATGAGGATGATGTTTTGATCATTGATGGTCTCACCAAGCGCTTCAGACTTCCAGGATGGAGAATTGCGTGGATTGTTGGTCCTAAGGTGAGATATATTATCGTTAATATAAGAGCCAAGCAACTGATTGAACCCTAGGAATTCATCAAAGCTATTGGCTCTTGCGGATCATACCTTGACGGAGGAGCCAACGTCCCCTTCCAGGAAGCCGCTATCCCCATGTTAGAGCCCACCAAGGTCCTCGCCGAAATGAAAGCTCTCCAGAGACATTTCCGCGACAAGCGAGACTACGTTATCGAGCGTCTCCGCGGTATGGGCTTCAACATCAAGACCGTCCCAGACTCCACTTTCTACCTCTGGCTCGATCTCGAGGGTCTTCCACCCGCCATCTCCGACGGATTGAACTTCTTCCAAGCTTGTCTTGAGGAGAGAGTCATCGTTGTCCCGGGTATCTTTTTCGATTTGAACCCCAGCAAGAGACGTGATCTATTTGATAGTCCTTGCCATCATTTTGTCCGCTTTAGTTATGGTCCTAAGATGGAGGTCTTGAAGATGGGACTTGATGGGATTGAAAGGGTTGTGCAGAAGTTCAAGAGTGGCGCTGAACCTACGCAGTAAATGGGGTTACTAGAGTAGATAGAGATGCAGATACGCACGTATATACAGGTGCCGTTTGGTAAAAATTGTTGATAGAAAATTGAGAATACTAGATTTTTTTGATATGACAAGAAATGTTTCCGTTTTCCAGTTGTTTTTTGGTGCTAGTGTACTAATATACCCTCTTATACTCTCTTCTTCCACCCCTAGGTACTCTTGTAATATCTGTCGTTCCCCCCCTACGCCCGCTCCCGCTTCTACCCCTCTAAGCAGAAAGTGGATTTGATGTTGAAGAGCTGGCTACAGTAAGAGTAAGTAGTCTCTGACCGAGTGGAAGCCTCCGAAGGACTACCTCGGCATCCACCTAGGTAACCGAGACAGGTTAGGTAGTAAAGATGGGAGTTTTTGAGGATTTTCCAGATCTCTGGTAGAAGATGGGATGAATACTTTGAAATTAGGTACTCGGGTTTTATTATATATAAAAGGTACGAGATATAAGATATAAGAGACTCTGTATTTGAGATTTTGGGATTTAGATTAAATATAATAATTATAATACGTTACTAAAACCTTTTATTAACTTTAAAATATAATAATTAGCTATAACACGATCGCTTCCCTGAATTACACATCTATTTCTTAGTTAATTATAAACTAACTAAAGTCTGTATCCACTTATTCTTAAGTATTATAGATATAAATGTAACTACTTACCGGACCAAATTTGAAGCTTCTGGTAATTACTGGTTAGGTATACTATTATGTTGGTTGTAGATACGAGAATATGTATAAGGGGCGTCGAGGATAGTATAATCCGTGTTCGTAAAAATGTATACGTAGATGTTGATCTAAAGTATAGTTAGTTTTAAATAAATGAATAGACACTCTTTTCCTTAATTTTATTAGTAGTGATTCGGATGGAAATCTGTGATATACTATGGTGATAGTGTTATAAGTTTAAGATTACCTTCTGTTGATTCCGCTATATAAGATTTACGGTCGTATATTATTATATATATAAGTCCTTGGATACTCGTACTGTGAGAGGCCAGACCTCGAATAGCTCAAAGGTGTGGTTTCGAATATTCAATTAAGAAGTGCGTGAAGACTACATACATGCAAGCTCTTCCTCTATATATAGAGAGAGGAAGAGTCTCTGAAATATTCCAGGAAGCTGCCTAACGAATACATGATGTCAAAAGAATAGAACAGAAAAGTATGGAACAGCAGAGACTTGCTTGGCAGTAGGGGAATGGCCAGTGCTGAGCGGGGACTTTGGTCAGTGCTTAGCGAGGGCATGGCCCGAGCCTCCATCATGGGTTTCAACCCTCACAATAGTAATAGTAATAGTAATAGTAAGAAAGAATAGAGGGTATTTATTTACCTAGAGGGAGGGTAGCGTTATAATAAGAACGACGAGAGCGGGGGTATATAGTTAGTACCTATAAGGTATATATTAAAAGGGGGAAGGTTTACTAAAAGGGGTGAAGAGAGTATAGCCTTCGACTCGTAGTCTAAAGGACGTATAATTATACTATAATAATTAATTTAGTCTAACCCGACTCTATTACTTAGGCTTACTGTGACGACACGCACAGCTGATGGACCGCGCAAGAGCACGACTACGTCAGGTATCACGAGTGGTGAGATTGACACTGTGGAACTGTCTATTCGAGGATTCTAAGCTAAGGAGAGAAGAGAAGAGAGCAGAGCTCTGGAGCCAGAGGTTCTTATATACAGGAGGTTGTGCCAAGCTATGGCTAACTGAGCCGGGCTCAGGAAGCACGGTATCCGCTGGGTTCCAGCCAGGGGCTGGTCTGAGGTGTAGTGGCGGTTAGAACCGTCACACTTACCTATCAGAAAGTAATATTTACGCTTTATAATTTACGATTTAGTTAATACTAACCTAAGTATATAATTAGAATACCGTAGGTAGCTAGATATTCTACTTAAGGAGGCTTTTTAGAAGTTCTTTTAATACTTCTAGTTTATAGTCTATAGTATATAGTCAGTTAAGAATGAAACCTATATAATTTATTTTAGTTCTATACGGGAACGCGAATATCTCTCTTCGTCTTTAGAGTTATTATACTCGGAATTAGAGTTAGTAGAGTTAGATTAGAGTCCTTAGAGCTAGTAGGGAGGGTAGAGAGGATAATTAAGAGTCCTAGACTGTAAATAGAGGTATATACGTAGTGTTATTACTCTTATTACACGCTGTCCTAAGAATTCTTATGTATAGGTAGAAGTAAAAGTAGAGAAAAAAACTACTAAACCATTCAAGCTTAATTTGGAACTGACTATAGAGTTTTATAGTACGAATGTGTTATATTATCATTTTTATTAGGCTATGACTTCTGGATCTCAAGTTCTGAGTCAGGTTTGGGGCTGAGTTACTGAGTTACCTTACTGGATAACCGGAAGTGATGGTTGCTTGTTGTTGTTGTTGCTGCTGGACCTGCTGTCCATGCATCGGTGTTGACTGATTGAATTGAGATTGCTGTCCGCCCCATTGCCATCCCTGCGTTCCTTGAATGTGAACTTGTTGAGTCAGCCCATTCCCATTCGTGGGCATCTGACTCTGACCGGTATATTGAGGCTGTATACTACCATTCATCTGACCCATATGCTGAGAAACCGGGATCCCTCCCTGCACCATTGGCTGTCCACCACCACCCTGCGGATGGTAAACATCTGGTCTGTAGACAGGAGCTTGCATCTGTGGTTGTGGCGCATTCATCCTCCCCATCTGCTGATGCTGCGCTGCGAAGTAATCCGCCTTCCCAACCGGAGAAATGGGCGGGATATTTGTCGTCCCGGGTGGAGGAGGGAAATACAGGTTCGATGCTGTAGGTGTGGAGGGAGAGGGTGTGTATATACTTTGATTTGGTGGGATAATTTGACGGTGTTGGGAGGGGCTGTAAAGACTTGTTGGTTGTGGACTCAGGTTTTGATTTTGATTTTGATGCGCGTTGTAGAGCGGCACGGAGGAGACGGATTGGGTGCGTGAGGGGGGCTGTGAATAGTACCCGCTGTCTTGCCTGCCTAAATCGGGGGGTGTGGGTGTTAGTTTTGGAGCCATGGATTGGATGGATATTTGTTGAACTTGGTATGGTTGTTGAGTTTGAGGTTGGGGCTGAGATACTGGGATGTTGTGAGGGGGTGTGTGCTGCTGTTGATATTGCGGTTGTGAAAAATTCTGGATCGGAGCGGGTGGTGGAAGGGAGGTTTGCTGTTGGAGATACTGTTGCTGTTGCTCTTGTTGATTTGTGGGAATTTGTTGCTGGAACACTGGGGTAATGCTCTGTTGATTTTGTAAGGTGATATCGTATTGTGGCGGGGGTGTTCTCATTGGCGGTGATACAGATGTCGTTGCTAGAGGAGGTGATGAATCTTGTTTAACTTGAGTCGGTTGGGGTGTGGGCGATGGCGAAGGCATATACGCTAGATGATCTGAGCAACCGAGACCACCCCCTGATGATTGGGATGAATTCTCGCTTGTAGGTTGTGACTGCAATGTTTCTACCGTTGCTTGCGGTGAAAAAGGCGTAGATTCAACTGCGATATTTCGTTTCTCCAATTCCATTTGGAGTAGACGTGCTTTCAAGAGGGCAATTTCTTGTTCCATGGCACTCTCAGGTGTGGGAGAGACTTGTGTGATGGTTGGGAGCTCATTTGCCGTACTGCTACATGTAAGTCATCTTATATAGTAGGGGGATTATGAGAAGGACGAACATTTGCGGAGTTTTCATAGCTCGAGATTGTGGTTTCTCATTCTGACAGGGTCCTGATGTTGGAGTTGAATTGGTAGGAGAATAAACAGGTAAAGGTTCGCAGAAGGATGGAGGAAATCCTTGTTGACTTTCTGTTTGCACAGGATATATTTCTCCTTGTTTCCCTATTGAATACCCGGCGTTTTGAGACTGTGGTATAGGGTTTTGAGGGTAATGGAATGGCTGTTGGAATGTCTGCTGTACTTGTTGGTACTGAGGCGCGGGTGTCCCTGAGTTCATTGAGGGGCCTGTATGTTGGCCAAAGCTCTGTGAATGTGACACAGGCTGATATAACATGGCATTGTATTGAGGGACAGGAGTGGGAGATGTCGACTTTGCCATCGGTACTGAAACGTATCCCAACTTTGGGTCTTGGACTAATTGATATCCTGGTTGCAGTGCCATCGCTACCATTCCCGGCGGAGCGGAAACCCCTGGTAATTGGTACATTCCTTGAGGTACTGGCATCGCTTGTTGTTGGCCTATCATAATAGCATTCTGCTTCTGGAAGTTTTGATGTTGGAGGTGTAGCTTCTCTTCTGCCTTCTTCTTGGTATGATCGTCATGTTTCTGCTCCAAAATAGCCCCCGTGCCATCAAGTGCAGCATGGGCAACAACATATTCCACTCCCTTTGCACCAACTTCTCCTCCAATCATCTCTGCTCCCGGCCCAGCAAGTCCTAGAGTTAGTCCACTGATAGCACCTGCTACAGCCATGGGAGCAACTACATCGCGCTTCCTGGTGTTGTGGGTTGCGCCTCGTGCCTGAAGTCCGGCTTCGATTATCTCTCTCTTTTTCCTCGCATTATGGATTCGAGGTGCTGATAATCCAAGTCCGATGAGCGAAACTCCTCCTGTGACGGGCGAGAACAACACTGAGGTCGCTGTAGAGGTTGCCCCGCCAGCAATCTGTCTTGTGTAATTTTCCCATTCTTTTTGTAGTTGTTCCGTAGAGAGCGTATTGACCTTCTGCTGATACTGAACATAATCAAAAGGCATTGTGAAAAATGATATAAATTAAGGAACGTAATGCCAGAAGAGATGCAACCAGAGAAATATATCAAAGGTGAGAGATACATAGAGAGGAGGTGGGGGAGAGAATGTTGTTCAAGTCTTTGGTACGAGCCGCACGGGGAATCCCCCATAACTTCAAAAGCAAGCCTTCGATATCGAGAATCCGCCTCGCCTCATTTTTGGACACAGGAAATGCTAAGAATGGAAACGTGGCGCAAATTGACACTTTTGATATGCCAGGTTCGAATTCCGTGGCCTGGCCTCAGCCGCAGCTGATGCTTCTGATGGCTGCGATTCGTTGGGAGGACCAAGGTAACAACAGAATAGGGAAGTCTGACCCCATATTCCGTGTTTATCGAGAATGCATGAGCCATCTTCCGTCTTAGAAATCCGATAAGTCTGTAATCGCAAGGCTTACATCGAAAATGACCGAAGAGTTGCAGCAAATTGGAGCAAGACTGGAAATCTGAAGCAGCTGAGCTAAAGAAAATACAGAAGAAAAATATATTATCCTTACAAGAACAAACCAAAATCAAGATAAAATCAAGTTCGATTTACGATTGTTTCCTGGTTTCTCCACAAAAAAAGAAGAAAGAGACGTGGTCGTAACTCGATATACACCTATCTTAGAATAAAATTATTACAAAAGCCTTGTACAGCTAAAATAGTTATTAAGAGAATTGAGAATGATTGTTAACGCTTACTTTTTGTTGGCCTAGGTATAATGATACAATTCTTTCACTTGTGCTGGAAGCTTAGCACAATGACTTTTTATATAGTGTGTACAGAGTAATGTTCAGGTATCTTACCATGAACGTCCAATTCCCGGAGCAAGGTGCTGTAACTCCGAAAAGTTGTTAACCGAGCACCAGCGAGTACCACGATGACCGAGTAGTAAGAACAACGACACTCAAGCTAATATGACCCAAAGAGAAACACCCAGGGCGATGTAATCGCTCGCTAGTCCAATATTTCGTCCCCTTGAACTTCTTGTGCCCAAAAAGTGCAGTCTATTGGAACTTTCAGACCAGAACGCCTCGTGGGCATTCATGTTGAGGTTTAAATGCATGTCGGCCGGAAAGGCACATAATTCTCTCAACGTAGATAAGATACCAAAGACACAACAGACGTATTGAACTTTTGTATGCGAGAAAGGTCGTTTATTATTTGTTTGCTGTCGGGTCGCAGAGAATTTTTGATACGAGTACTCTGAAAACTCGGCATGACATACATGGTCACGATCGCCTATCAGCAGGTGATGTGGCCTCGCCGCGTATGGAGTTCATAGACGGTTCTTCTGTGCAGCATGCCACGTACGTCATAACACCACTTCGAGGTACCTGTCACACTCGCTATTTGATCTTGCGATGTTGAATCGAAGATGCGATGCAATGTGACGTTTATTAAAAGACTCAAAAAGCGCAGAAAGCGTGCGTATTCCAGATTGGGAAGGAGAAGCCTAGGGGATGTCGCTTATAATGATATCGTGATTGGTTGAATGTGCCCCACACGTTCACATTTAGACTAGTGGACGACGGCCCTATGGTCTCCCGTCTCCAACGTTCACCCTTTCCATCTCACCTGTTACAATCTGTCGCTCGTTACTATTTTTGTCAAACTCAAATATCGCCCATTCACTCTTACTTTACTCCAGACTCGTAAATCCCTCTTGGTGGACGTCGGCTGTCTTCAACAGTTCTTGTGCCTCGTTTACTTGCATAAAAGCTCATAAGAAATTCCCACGGGTTTCTGTTTCGAATTCCGCCAAGTCTGGAGATCGCAATACTTCAAAGTGCTTTTCCGTTATCCGGGGACTCTTAGTATGAAGATCTGGATTTTTTTTAACCTTCTGCACCTGGGTGAAACGAAAGGTCCCACAGAGCTAGTCCGTACTCCTTGAAATCCCCACGTTAATGGTCTTGCTTTAGATCTCACAAGGTTGCTCACGAGAACTCTGGACAGATCATTTAGCATTGCTCACTCACTGAATGATTCACAGCCTGATGCAAATTCAAGCATCAACCACCCAAAACTTGTGGAAATATTTTGGGATTCGCCCCACCTTCCTATCATATCCTCATACACCCTCTTATTGTGCTGTTGCCCTACAACCTTTTCAGTCTTCTTATCGAAAGCCAATAAACAACAAGGAACGAATTCAAATTGTCCTATCCGTCCACGCAACATACTTTCCGAGGTAACCACACAGACGTATCTCGAAAACTTGGGCTTTGAAGACCTTGCTGGCTAGATCTGTCTCTGCCCTGGTTTTCACATCCCAAAGATCGCACCAAAGGCAATGGACATACACCCCTGCGCAAATCACACTCCACTTCTCCCCAACCTTTTTCGCCAAAGGTCAAGAACAGAAGCTTAACAGGCTTCATTGGACGGCAACTCCGTTTCTCGACTTGATTCAGCCTTCAGGTATATCAAACACCACATCCTGGGGCAACTCTCTGCTGCGCCAGCCTGCGGTGCTTCTCCTTCCACGGCGTGGGTCTTTTCTTTCCAACAATTTTGTACATCGTATACAGATTCGAGAATAAGGCCGATGTCCACACCCCGGATTGAGGCATAATCAGTCTTGTGCAATTTTAATAGTTTATGGTTACTTTGGGCTCCTGGTATATATGGAGAGATGGCGTTCTCCAGAGTCTCTGACGTCTTTGGACGTTTATTAACTATTCCTAATAACCCTTATAATTACACCAAAATGAAATCCGAAGCCGACTCCAACGGCGGGCAGTCCCCGGGCACGCAAACCACATTCGTGGATTCCCTGGATCATGGAGAACGATTTTCGAATTGGCCCAACTTCTCCATCGAACAGTACTACCCACGACATACACGAGGAAACTCAATACAAAAAATCCTCTTTCCCGATCCATCCTTTACGACAAGACCTGGCTTGGGTCGCTCGCTTAAGTTGATGTGTACCAAATACCCCGTACGCGACATGGCCTGGGCAACGGGAATCGTCTTTGCCCTTGGATCACTACTCTTCGTCATCAATGGATTCTTCATAGTTCTCCCTCTGGTGGCACCCAATTCGAACTTCCCAACCGAGGCTTCCTATGGGACGCCCGTTACCGCTTTAGCAGGAGGCATTTTGTTCTGTTTTGGAGGGTTAGCAGGTTACTTAGAAGGACTTAATGCAAAACGGGCCGGCGGCCCTCAGATGACTGAAGGCATCCGAGTTGATCGTGAAATCTGCAGTATGGAAGGCGGACTGAAGACTCGTGATGACGATGAACTTGGCTTTCGCGCCTCTGCCTCAAGCGACAACATCTCCTTGCGAACAACACCACCCACCACACCACGACCAACATCAAGCTGTCCCTATGCGACCTCGATCCTCCACCCTATAACCACCACTGACGGGATCACAACAACTGTTCGTGCCAGTGCGACAAACCGCAACCTCACTGCCAATGCGACCACGCCCCCGCACCTAGCCATGATCGGCTCCCCAACCTTCATCTGGATTCCCAGCCTGCGCCAGTTCACACACACCTACATGCGGGACCTGGCCTTCATGGGGTGTCTTATTCAATTCATCGGGACTTTCATCTTCCTGTTCGCCATTGTCACCGGCCTCCCTGGCCTCATGGACCTAACCTCCGTGCCCACTCTCTTCCTCTGGAACCTACTGCCTGCCACGCTCGGCGGCGTCCTCTTCATCACCGCGTCGATGTGCCAGCTGCTTTCCTCCCAGGACAAGTGGTATCGTCCCAAACCCCTGGATTTGGAATGGCATATCGGCGTGTCCAATGTGATTGGGAGTATCGGCTTCACGCTCGCTGGTGCGCTGCCATTTTTGCAGACCCCGAATGGGACTTTGCAGGCTAGTCTTGCGAGTTTGTGGGGAAGTTGGGCGTATCTCGTGGGTAGCATTCTGCAGTGGTACTGTGCTATGGGGAAGTATGCTTCTGATTGAGTAAAACGGTCTACATTGGGTTCTGGACTTGGATTGGGGTGGGATATATGATTGCATGACAGGGAGTATGATTTCATGTCGGATTGGGCTTTTTTCTCTTCGTTGTTTATATATTTTTCTCTTCTCTTCTCTTTTCTTTCTTCTTCTTCTTCTTTTGGCCTGGTCTGGCCTGGCTTGGGCTTTTATGAGCATATACCCCATTTTCTTTTTTCGGTTGGAAGGATGGTTATTTTTCTCCCTGGAGATGACCTGGAACGATGAAGGTGATGGAAATTTCATGAGTAGTTTGGTCTACTGAAGCAGTAGATGATGAATCAATACAATAAATTTAAAACAACTTGATCCAAATCTTCCATTTGAGTATACAAATCATAAACACGTCGTATCAGAACAGGTAGTAAGAGTAACGAGATATATTAAATAAGCCAGGCGAAATACTGTAAGATTAATAAAGAGCCCATTTTGCTCAAGTCTCTGCGCAACTGATGCTGACCAGATAAATATATTTATATATATATACATATGAGATGGAGTGCCTGGAATGCTAGATTAAAGTACGAAGAAGAATTGAATTGAACGAGTTAATTAGATAAGAGAGTAGGAGAGAACGACGAATATATAAAACCCTGACTCCTTTGACTCCGAATGAGACCTGTTAGAATATACTGACAACAACTGATGCTAAAGAAACAAAACTTATGAGGATGCCGTACGTAACGAATTTATTGTTTTTCTATTCTCTAGTTCTCAACTAGACTTCAGTTCTTGCTTTCGGAAGCGACCCTGTAGCCAGCATCTATACATCTTCAACTGCTTGGCTCGATTAACCAACAGCCTCCTATCCACGCCAAGATCAACGACTTCGAAGCAAGGACCAGGGGTATTCTCGGCAGCCACATCCTCTGCCTTCTCTCCAATCCAAATATCAATGAGTTCTTCCTTCTCAAAGAAGTAAACTCTAGTACCGTCCCCTCGAATGTAAAAGTTCTCTTCTAGGTATCTCCCTTTCTTGAAGCGCACTTGAGCCAGGTCTCCTCGCCCATAATCACGGAATAATACCTCTCCGCCGGGCTTAAGAACTTTGAAGATGTTGTGTACGGCTTGCTTCCATTGAGATGGTGAAAGGGCCGAGAAAATGAAGATCATCAGGACATAATCAACACTTCCCTCGCCTAAGTCGGGGGGGAGCTCATCACTGGCGGCATCCCAAACATCGGCTTGTATATTTTGTGAATCATATGCCTCGTTCGCACGAATTACTTCGACGGCTTTCTTGGAGAAATCGCAGGCATGTATCTTGAGATTAGGATTTTGGTTACGTGACAAGATAGGGAAAGCAGTATTTCCAGCTCCTGCGCCCACCTCTAGAAGTGTGTAGGGTGCGGCACCTGGCTTCGTGATATCAATCAGGACAGGAAACTCTTGTTGGAGCCATTTTCGGTCCTTGAAGAAATTCGCAGCATTGTTTTTGTAAAAGTTATTCCACCACTTTGCTGGGTCGCCGTTAAATCTGTCTTTTGAAATGTCAGCCATGGCACACTAATTGACTTGAGACAATATTGTGTAATGTAGATGCTATCAGATAGGAGCGAAAGACATTGCGAATTTTGTTTCGTTCATGGGCTAGTAACCTCAGATGAACTATGCTTGTATTCAATCATCAGGAAGCAGTGGCAGAACCACGGGAGGATGTGCAAGAGATGAGTTGCTTACTTTTGTCAAAATCCGAGACAGGTGCCTCGCGCTGCTTTGCGTATTGTTCTTCTGCATACTCCTTGTAAGTATCATCAGTCTCTACATGGTCCCAAGCATTAAACTCGAACACATTCTCCGTCTCGCTCAGGTAGCGAGATCCGAATTGAAAGGGATCGCTCCTTTTGAGGTTATTCTCGGGATCGTGAGAGAGGTGAGGAGGAATTGCCGCGGGTTGAGCGTCTTCAACTGCAACAACCTTGGTCTTGTCCTCGGTGGGCGCCAATGTCAACTGGGAGAGATCAGGCAAAGGAAGTGCCTGCTTCTCGCTCTGAATCGACTCCATGGCCAACTCAATTAAGCTCAAGAGAGCTTCCACGGGCCAGTTGACTCGAGTGCATGGAGTTGTCGCGAAGTTGAAGTGTGGTGTCGCGAGAGAAAAAGAGGAGAGAAAAGTGGCCTGCGAAAGAAATTTTAATGGAGGGGGGCCGGCGGTGAGAAGACCTCGATTTTCTGCCGCTTGATCCCTGCACACTTGATTTCGTCCGAAGCAGCCTCGTAGGGCAGCTTGGGGCAGCTCCACCAGAATTGTCACCTCCAGTCAATGACCTCACGAGTTGATGCTCAGCTCTTCTAATGTCTGAACTTTGTTTCTTCGCCATGGACTTTTGCTAACATTTCTTGTTCTCCTCAAATTTCTGCCACTTTCTTGAATAGTGTCAATCGTACAATACACGCAGCATCTGGTCCGTACACTCCTTCATCATGTCGAAAGTCATGCTGCGAACCTTCCGGACGCAAAGCGCATTCCCAATTCGCCCTTTGCGACTCAATTCACAAGCTCATGCTTCACGAGGCTTCGTATCTCTCCCCGGCATCGGTCTCCCAGGAACGGAACCACAAAACTTGAATGCGACACGAATACTCCCATACAAATCGAGCAGTCTCCATACCATCATCGCAGATATCGACAGCTATTCGGCCTTCTTACCCTACTGTCAAGACTCAAAAGTGACGAAGTGGTCAGAGCCAGATGCGAACGGGAAGCGATGGCCCTCGGAAGCAGACCTAAAAGTAGGCTGGGGCGGCCTCGAAGAAACATTTACATCGAGAACGCTTTGCATTCCGGGCTCTGTCGTTGAAGCACTAGGAGGAGAGGCTGTTACCAGTCTGCCAAAATCCGAGTTGGCACACCATGGTAATGCGCTCAGCAGCCCTGCAGAAGCCAATAGCGTATTTCAGTCCATGAGCACTAGGTGGACCTTGAAGCCTTTCCATTTTAAGCCCACCTCTGGAACCCCACAAACAGACACATCAGAGCATGACGCAAGAGATCGCACTGAAGTACACCTTTCAATCGACTTTCAATTCGCAAATCCCATATACGCCGCGTTGAGCAAGGCGGTTGCGCCGAAAGTTGCAGGAATAATGATCGAAGCATTTGAAGCTAGAGCGAGAAAGGTTCTGGATGGGCATGTTTTCGAAAAGACTTCTTTTGCTGGAGGTGTCGATGCTCCCAAATCGCGATTATGAAAGGTCGTATAAATGGCGTTGCTGCAGGAGAAGATGCTGGGATTTTCGAAATAGAACTTCGAAGTCATGTATACTACCACTTATATTAAAAAAAGAATCAATACACTTCACGTACCGACTTTAACTTTCTATATGCCTTTTTTTTTCATAAGTAGGTATGGGAGGTTTCCCGGTAAAAGGACACTTTTCAACTTTTCGATCGACTTTCTCAACCCTCCTATTATAGAATTCGATATTCATTAACTTTCTACACGCTATTTTTTTCTTATTGGTGGTTATAGGAGATCTCTCGGTAAAAAGACACTTTTCAGCAACTTTTCAATGACTTTGTTAAACCTCCTATTATAGAATTCGATATTCATCAACTTTCTTCACGCCATTTTTTTCTTCTTACAAGTAGTTGCAGGTCTCCCGGTAATAAGGCACTTTTCGACTTTTTAAGTAGTTTAAGGACCTTCCCCTAATAAGAATTCAACGTTCATCGGCTGTCTACATTCAAAGGGTGGACAGCTAAGAGTTATACCATGCTAGCTCAATAAGATCGACGCCCAACTATAGATATATCCACTCTTGTTCGATAAATCTTGTTGAAAAAAGTGAATAAAGTTAGGTCATGATTCACTATATGTCTGTCAGTCACATGCCAACTTGCTAGCTCCGCTCGATGCGGACTAGTGTGGCCTATTCCTAGCATTATTAGTCAGGGTGGGCACTTAGCACTTAGACAATTGAAGAGTTTTCCGCCCAGAGTTCCTAACAACATATCTTAGCCAAAAAAAAACAAGGGTTTTATTTCCTTGTTTTATTTTAGCTAATAGAACGCGGAGTTTAACTGCTTATTAAGAAAAAATCGTCTAAGGAACAGTATAAAAGTTATTAAAAAGGCTCCTTATATAGTAGGTTTTAATATGATCTACGTGACATGGTGTAACTCTTAGCTGTCTACCCCCTTTATATAATTCTACGATTAGGGACTAGAGGGGTACACTCCCGGTAATAGTACGAATTTTCAAGTTTTCTTGAGTTCCTCTCACTTCCCAATCTTCCCCACCAACCTTCATTATCCTTACTTCAATAACAACCCTGACTATTTTAATCTAAAAGCTCTCCTATAGTATTGCTACGATAGTTAGGCCTAGAGAAGAACGTGATAAGACATGGTCGTTACTCTCTATATCTCTCTCTTAGAATAAAATTATTCTAAAAACGTCGTATAACTAAAATAGTTATTTAGAGAGCTTTGATAAATGTTAACTCGTACTTTTTAGTAACCTAGGTATCCTCATATAATTATCTTGCTTGTACTACAAGTTTAGTATAATAGAGTTTTATATAGTGTATACAGAGTAACGACTAGGTAGCTTACGCCGCTAGACTAACGTATATCTTGGATCATTTTAATCCGGAAAATCTGGGTGTTACATGAGGTTCACCAGATCTCGGTTCCGTCAATACAGTGCGACCATTCAGTTGGATGTCATGCTCGTCTCCAAAGTTTTTTGGGCACAATGGCACACCTATGGATTCCGCCACGAAGGAGCCGAGAACCACGAATCTTCAGCGATGTCCAGCGGCGTTACCCGAGCGGTTGGGTTGCATTATTATCTCAAAGAGTGCTGTCTACCATTCTTTTCATGTCAACTGACCGAATTATTGAGGATTCAAATGGTATTCGGTGAGGTTGATCCGAATGCGGGGTTACATTATATTTTCCAGCTTACACTCTTCACCCACTTGTTAATGATAGATCCAGACTGAATACTTGGTAGATCAAGTCAAAAAGACCCAAGACTTGAATAAATGTAGTTGTTCGTTGCTATCCATTTCTATGCCAGTTTTTCCGGGCTGGTTTAGTTTTTATTTTGTTGTCGCCGTCGGTTTCGTCCTGCTCTCGCTCTGTTTTGTTTCAAAATATTACTTCAGCGCTAAGAAATACATGCACCTCAATCTGTTTGATAACGCCTCTTCTCGGTGTGGTTCACACGTGGCTATCGCCAATGGAAACCAAATCGAGTCCGTAAAGTGGCCTCGCAATCTTCTTCTTTGGGAGAGTCACGATGTCGATCAATTCGGGAAACCACGAAGGAGGGGTTATGGATGGCACACTCGAGGCACAGTGAGGATAAGGTCTAACAACGCTCCTGCGAGCCCCATTATTCCTCCTAGGCGGGTTTGCCGGACGATTTAAAGATCTGATTGTGCAAGATCTTCAATCTTCATATCGCCGTTTACTTCCCGTTATAATGAGGAGTTTCCACTTTATCATTGCAATGTGATAAGATAAAGTTTGTAATTACGTGATTAACGATGTTGGAGGCGTAGCGGGAATGGCTGAAGTGGCACATTTATCAGCGAGATGCGTTATTTGCCGCAATCCTACTATTCTCCGCAGAGTTTCAGGTGTCCTAACTATATTTCACTCATATTCAACCAGGTACAAGAATATTACAAAGTTAGTTTTCATGCCCTTTCATACTGTAATAAGATACCTGGCCGTTACTCCGTACATACTAGATAAAAGTTATTATATGAAACTTCTAGCACAAGTAAAATAATTGTTGTAGGATACCGAGGCTAGTAAGAAGTAAGAGTTAATAACTATTTAAGCTCTTTATATAATTAAGTTAGTTATACGACCCATTTAAAATAATTTTATTCTAAGAGAGGTGTATACAGAGTAACGACCACGTCTCTTACAGTCCCAGGCGCGTCGTTTCCGAAAGGGGTGTATTGTCAGATGGAGAGCGGGACTGTTTTACTAACACCCACAGCCCTCTAAGACCCGCTATTTAGTAATGACTTCCAATTGAAAGACTATATTCCAAGTAAAGTAAACTTTTATATATATCCGAGCTAGGTTTTTAAAGATTAGTCCAATTAAACCTTTTTTTTGGAAACAACGCGTTTGGGACTGTACTTATACGAATTATAAAGTTTCTAGATGGTGGATGGTCTGTCCACGTGGGAAGTTCCATTCCATCTTCCTTTCGATAAAAAACAACATCTGAAAATGATTTATTGGAGCACTCGGGGATTGTTCTAGAAAGAGATCCTGTAGATGTGATTTTGGCCACACACGTGCATCTTCAGGGGTGGTTTGCTTACTGTGGAAGCAAGTCCAATCTCCCTACCGGTACTAGACCAGGTATAGCCAGAATATGCTTGGTGCAGGGGGGATGCAAACAGAACCGTATTCTTGCCAATGATGGCACACACATCGAGGCTGTTCGCACATATATGCCCCACCCAAAGGTGGAGTGTTGGAGTGAGGCTTGGAAGCCACCAACACTTCCAACATTGACATATAAAAACTTCTCTTTTTCTCTTTTTCTATTGCCTCTTCCCTTCATCTTTCTCATTAGCTTTTCTCATTTCCATTTATTTCATCATTTCTACTTTCAAAACATGTTTTCTTTGATTTCTTCTTCGCTTGTTGTAGGCAGTGCGTTGCAAGTGGCTGCTTTCCCTTCTAGTTCAAGAAAACTTGAACGTCGAAACGGAACCGAGCCATATAGCCTTCCATCTCTATATGTTAATGCTACTGAACGAAAGGCTGCCATTCAGGTTAAGCGAGATACATTTTTGTATGGTCCTTCGATCGCCGGCAACACTTCCTTTTATCCCTCTGGCCCGCTTGGAAGATCCATTGTTCAAGCAGACGTCAATGCATTCACCGCAGATGGAGCATCTCAACGTCAGGCTGTAGGAGAAGGGCAACAGATTGCTGCAGCTACCACAAGAGCTGTAACTGACTCCCCTCAAAATGAATCTGACACAAAAGGCTAATATATATTAGGCTGGTGGTATTAAACAACTTTCTGATTTTGAACTCCTATACAAAGACCAGTGGCAGAAAGCAATTCCAAATGGCATCGCCACTGGTATACTTGCCAATTATACCGAAGACCTGTTCTTCTCCATGTCGAGACTTTCGGTAAACCCTTTCTCGATTGTACGTCTGGACCCTGCCAAAGACGTTCTCGAGTTTGCGGTTGAAGACTCAGTGGTGGCCAGTATCACTGGTGGAAACACTTTATCAGAACTCTTCACTTCTGGAGCCCTTTTCTATGCAGACCATCGCTCCCAAGATTCCCTTGAAAAGATTCCGGGGAGGTTTGCTGCAACTTGTGACGCGTATTTCTACATTCATCCAACAAGCGGGGACTTCCTTCCTTTGGCAGTTAGAACAAATGTTGGAAGCAACTTGATCTATACTCCTGCGGATTTGCCTAATGATTGGCTGCTTGCAAAAATGGCATTCAATTTGAACGACTTCTGGCACTCCCAATGGTATCACTTTGCCGCAACTCACCATGTGGTTGAGATTGTCTACGAAGCCGCTTTTCGCAGTTTGAGCGATGACCACCCTGTTATGGCAATCCTACAAAGACGTAAGTTTAATGCCGGCTGTTTGATCAATCAAAACTAACTTGCCAACAGTGACACCACAACTATTCGCAATGAGACAAGCAGGCATTCAAACTCTGCTTGCCAAAAACGGGTTTGTCGATCAGTTATTCGCCTACACCGGATCCGCAGCCGGTATTTCGACAACCCAACATTACCACGCAGGAGCTGGTAAATTCCAAGCAAACTACTTCATCAAAAATCTCGAGGCGCGCAACCTGATTAACTCCTTCGGACCCGAGCTCAAACACTTTCCTTTCCTCGAGGACGCAGCCCCCATCCATGCCAGTATCCAAAAGTTCATGACGTCCTTCGTGGAATCCTACTACACCAGTCCAAAACACTTCGGGCAAGATACCGAGCTCCAAGCGTGGATCTCGGAAGCCGTACCAGCAAATATCTTCGACTTCCCTGCCTCGGTTGATAAGGATACTTTGATCGATATCCTTACTCATGTTGCCTTCCTCGGAAGCGCAGTCCATCACACCATGAACACGAACGACATCTCCGAAGCCTCAGCCACTCTCCCATTAAACCCAGTCTCTCTCTATCAACCACTCCCACCCACCAAAGGCGTCACAGATCTGATCCCTTTCCTCCCCAACGTCACACAGGCCATTGGGCAGGTTTCGGTCGTTGCGTTGTTTGCTAGACCTGCCTTTTTCGGATCCGAGAAGTGTCTGGTGCAGATGTTCAATGGGACGGCGATGTTGGAGAGGATGAATGAGGATGTTGGAGAGGCGGTGAAGGAGTTTGCGGAGGAGATGTTGGAGCAGAGTGAGGTGGTTAGTTCAAAGGCGTTTGATGCGGATGGATTGAGTCAGGGGATGCCGTTTATTTGGAGGGCGCTTGATCCTCAGCGGGCTCCTTACTTTCTTACTATTTAGATTTTTTGGGATGGATGAATTAATGAATTCCTGTTTGTTCTTGGATTTGAAATCGATCTGGGAATGCAGTCGCCATTGTAACATAATACGTGATCTGTGAGAAAGCTGGTTATTGCTTTGTATACACTATGAAAATTTATTATGCCAAACGTCCAGCACAAGTAACCTTTTTGTCTTCGTATACACAGCCTAAAAATGGTAAATTCAATAATCATTTCAGCCCATTCATACAACTATTTTAATTTTACAAGGGCTCTTGGATAATATTATTGCAATCTAAGTGTGTGCAGAATATTGAGCACGGAAGTACCTTACTCTAAGTAGTCGCCATTGGCAAAAGCAAGAGTGTCGCAAATTCACCAAAGTGGGTCCACCACATACCCCCAAACCAGCAATGTCCCTTAAGATCCTTTTTTTGGAGTGGTGGTGTTGTTGTTTTGCTTTAAGCGAGGCGCGACCGCGTAGGTTGCGTGACGGTAGAGTCCTCAAAGTTGCCGCAATCCGCATTCACTTAGAATATTAGTAAGAAAGTGGGGTTTTGTAAATGGAGGGAGACTAATTGTAATTCTGGTGTGCCACGAGCCACTGCTATCTCTTCCATCCTTCAGAGGTACCCAACAGGAACTTGCACTCGCCGAGCGCTGATAAGTGACTCTATACAGGTAGTTGGAAGTACAGAGTGGGAGTGGGTGAGTGCTGGATGAGTGGTCTCTAGTTGGAAAAGAAGAATATTGTAGGTGTCCTTGAAGACAAATTGGTACAATGGCAACAAATATATAAACTCAATTACCGTTTTTTCTTGGTTCAAGCAAAGTCTCACAATTCTGGCTGGTGTAGGTTGTGCACTACCGATTCATGGGGTCAGCGCAGCTTCTATTGAGGATGACAACTGTATCTCTTGAGGCTGGAGCGGATACTTACAAATGTTCTTTCAAGATTTTTAAACTAACCCCGTAATATAGAGCGCTCTTACCCAGTGACCAAATAGCGCAAGAAAAGTAGTACATATTTTGAATCTCGGTTCGAAAAATAAGCGGGTATTATACAGTATCAACAGCTGATAACATATTCTATGTACCCAATATATCCCAGTGCCAAAATAAAACAGAACCCCCCAAGTTTCGATATGACCGATGGTCTCCAATAATTCCAAACACAATGCCGTCTAAATCATTTATCCCATCATTAACCAACAATCCTCCCTGAAAGTATCTCTGTCCGTTATCAAGAATCCGACCCATCATTCAACTCCGTCTCATCAGCCAATTGCTTCGACCCAATAAGATTGCCTAGATGAACGACATTGAAAACAATCATAGTACCAAACATCAGAACCCCATCAAAGATATAGAGGTAAACCTCGTGAGTCATCAACGTCCCCGTCTGCCCGCCCAAGAACTCCGCAACACGGAAGATAGACCGAACTAGAATCAATGCGCTAGCAAAGTACAGAGAATACATGTATTTTCTCCAAGGTGTCGATAGGGAGGCGTTCGTTGGAGTGGAGGAAAGTCGGCGGTGTAATATCCCACTGGTTATCATGAAGACGCCGAACATGACGATTTGGATAAAGAGGCCGGCGATGACGATTTTTTTCCCGGTATTTTGACTGCTTGCTTGGGCAAGTAGTCCTCCTCCTATACTTGTGTTAGTGGTAATCATTGGGGGAGGGTGGATTGATATATTCTAACCTCCAGCCTGGACAAGGAATGAAAAGACATCTCCAAGAACGAATATCTTTGTAAGCCAGGTTCGTCGAATTGGTGCAAGACTCTCGGCCTTTGTGTGCGCTATCATCCGACCTAGAATCATGTAGATACTGGCTGCGAAGAGAGCCGGCGCAACGAGGAGGAGTAAGGTTTGCATGATGTAGAAAGAGAGACTGGTTTGGTTGTTGTGGGCTAATATTCGGCCAAGGTATCCAAGAAATTCGACTGATGGAAGTGTTGGATTACTACATGCGTGATTATGATTACTGATTGGTACGTACAGACACCTCCGATGACCAAAGGTACGAAAAAGAGAGAGCGCTTTCTGATCATTTGATAGACATGGAAGAATGTGGTTCCGATAAAGAGAACCATGAAAATTGCTGCGGCTGCCACCGAGGGTTCATATCTACGATAGAATCAGTATATGGGTGTTGAGTACTGAAGTGGACTACTCTTACTTCCATAACCGGAATTTATGTGTGCTGTCGTCGGACATTCTGAGGGTAGAGGTTATTGTAGAAGAGTTATGATAGATATTAAGGAGGATATGAACCAAAATACAATTCGCTAAAGAAGAAAACAAGGTATAGTAAATATGGAGAAACAGTGCAATATTGAGCAGTTATGAGCGAAAAGATACGAGAACACTTAGGGGTATATATGCTGAATATAATTTGAAATGATTGAGGTATGACAGCATGTAGCAACTGATCTATCTCATTTCTGGATAGAGATTATCAGCCTTCTACGCCGTAGACAGGCACGTTTTCGAGGCTCCCAAACGTATCAAATCCATTTACGGGCATTGATATTTACCCATATACGTACCTCCCGGCGTCAAGAATGCTGTGTGTAAGCTTTCAAGGGGGGGCTGCGCCAAAAGGCTTACCAGGTCGGGTCTCGGCTAAGTCGGTAACCAATCACCGGCCGATAATTCCGTACGAGTAAGGGTTGGGTGACCCACAAGAGAGCTGGATAGGGATGGTGGCACAGCGCTTGCATGGCATGGAACGCTTTCATCTCGGGAAAGCACCTTAGATCCACGCGTCCCTTCTGCTTTGCAGTCCCCATCTTTGTAACGACAGATATTCAACAGTATAGACGAGGCTCCTATTTGATATTGATACGGCTCGGAAGCACCAACAGCGGTGGAACCCGATATGAACAAAACACCTCCCGCCGGCAAGCCTCGGAGGCCACATAACAAAAGCCGCACCGGGTAAGAAATATTCGGTTCTGATGTCCCTAGATTTAGGTGAGAAGTTACAAGAAATATTGTGAGGGCTAATCTAGTCGTTCTTGGTATAGATGCACGCAATGCAAAGCAAAGAAAGTCAAGGTGCGTAGACAGAAACAGTATCATTCCCTTGATCACTTTCTATTCCTTCGTGGAGGATAGACAGCTCAATCTCATATGCTTTACGACGACTGCTTACGGGCGCTTCGTATTGGATTTGAGGAAAAGCAATGCCACACTAAAGGATTCAGAGACCTGATGCAAGTCATGTGACCAGCCTCGGTGACTGTGTCCTCGAAACTCCGCCTGGAAACATATATTTATCCTTCGCTAAACAAGATTTGTTGAGTACGAAAAAGTACAGAAATAAATACTAATAAGAATATAGTGCGATGAGAATAAACCAATTTGCCACAAGTGTGAGAGCTATCGAACGCCATGTTCGTTCCTTCAGACCCATCCGCAACTTCGAGGACGACCACAAGCACTTCTTCCTTCCAATACTCAATCTCGAGTAGCCTTGGAAAAGTCTCCAGATTCAAGACAAGACTCGACTCCAAATACACCCATATCGACTTCATCACAACCCGCTCCAGCCACTTTTACGATGCTTGACTTGGAGTTGTTGCATTCCTATGTTACAGCTGGAATCCAAACATTTGCTGCATTTCCCGAGATTCATGAATTGTACAGGAAGATCGTGAGTGCCCAATCAACCTCTTTGTCTAGGTTTCTCATGGGGCAGCTCCTAGAGAAGGAATTTTTCACACCTTCCTGCATGTGCACTTGACTCGCATTACACCCGTCTCAACATATGAAAAGAAAAGAGCGTACTAACTAGAATTCCGCAGATCATGGAATTTGCCTTCAAGAACGACTTCGTCATGTATAGAGTTCTGGCACTTTCTGCGCTCCACATGGCGTACATCCATCCCGAAGAGGCTTCTAAGTACCGCTTCGCAGCTGATAGCCATTCCGCAACCGGGCTCTCTCTATTCCTACGCGAAATTAGCAACCTGAACCCCTCAAATTGTGAAGCGTGCTTTCTCTTCTCCACAATGACATTCCTTCATGCCTGGGCGATGCAAGATATCTCCAAACCTTCGACAATGTTTTTCCTTCCCACGCGATGGCGCGACGAATGGGAAACGCCCATCCGATGGATTCAACTAGATCGTGGGAGTCGAGCAATCATCTTCACGACCTGGGTAGATCTTTCTACAGGAGCTCTAGCACCTATCTTTGGACCGTGGGGGAAGATTGGGGAAGACTTGTACAAGCAAATCAAGGATGACCGTCTATTAGCTGACGACAAGAAGGCGTTGAATCATCTGGCACACGCGTGGGATAACGATTCCAACTCGGAAGAAATCAAGGCTATACTTTCCGAAACACTGACCACGTTGAAGGGAACCTTTAATATGCTCCAATCTGAAACTCCCAATGTCAGCAACCTGGCCATCGTTATGGCATGGTTCTCATATCTCTCGGATGACTTTCTCAAATTGGTGGAGGACAAAATTCCAGAGGCGCTTCTGCTGGTGGCATATTTCTGTGTGACGCTGATACGATTACCCTCGATGTGGTGGAACGACGGACGGCCGGAGAACTTTTTAGAAACCATCTTGGATGAGCTGGGAGATCGATGGGAGGAATTTACCAGATGGCCGATTGAGCAGGTGTTGGGGAATAAAAAACGCAGCCCGATAACCCAAGATGTTGTTACGGCGTAACAAAAGCGATCACCTTTCTGCAGAAATGGAACACTTTGCATGACGCAAAACTTGCTCGTTGTCACTTGCTGTGATTCTCGTCAGGGAGACCGTCCCAATTGAGTACGCGTGGCACGCTTCAAAAGCGGACAACCTGCCCAAAACCTACCTAGACAATTCGCGTTTGAAAATATGTTGGTTACCTATATTTGTTAAGTGCCTATTATTCGGTATACCTATTTTGTTTTCTTCCTCTTTTTTTCTACGCTCCGTTAGGTAGTGTGTTAAACGGGACACCTGCGGCTAGTAAGAGGTGTGTATATTAAAAGATAGCCCTTCCTTGCGGTAAGGAGATATTATATCCCTGAATGGGCCATATAACTAGTCCCTAGTTCTGAAACTGACAAAATTCCCTAATGATTTTCCGGTAGGAAATGGGGGATGTTCCTTAAAAGGTGGTAGCACGTATCTTTCCCATTCACAGCTATGCTTTTAAGATGTTAAATGTGCTTTTGATTCACTCTGAATCATCTATCTCACTAGTTAGATACTAACACTCGATTCTAATAGCGTAGGGTAAGGACGAACCGAGTATTAATGGTAGAGTCAGCTAAACGAGTCATAATAGTACGCCTTTTCATATTCACAACTACAATATCAAACGTTATTCATCGTTCCGCTGCCTAGGATTATTCACAGTCCTGCAGTTTTCGAGATCTATAAATACCCCCGAACCTCACACTCCTTGCTTCTTTTCTCTTCAAAACTTAACAAAGAAATCATATCCTACTAGGACAATACTCAGCCATAATCACTCTCTTGAACTCTCTTTGTCTTCGACTGTTCTTACAAGCCACAATTCCGGTTCCCGAATCCCGACATGAGTGGTAGCTCTAGTAGCGACGACAAAAGGAAGATGGCTGATGAGGGAGGAAGAGAGGAACCTCAGGGGAAAAGGGTTATGTCAGTTGCTCAGCTGGCCGGTATCCCTGAAACAAATACCGATACGACGTCTTCTAGTGTTGGCCAGTCTTCACAATCCAGCCAAGGCAACACGGCTTCGACAAGTCAGACAACCAATGACAAGCAGCCCCAATATGGAGCCTTCCTGACGTATGGGGGAGAAGGGGATACCGTGGACCATCGTCAGAACCCTGAGATTTTCCCGCAGCCAGGCGACAGGGACGAGAATAGTTTTATCCCATACAACAACGAGCTTACAAAGAGGGGGAGACCATTTTACAACCCGAACAAACCAAACGTTCCTCATCCTTCTCTTAAAAAGAAGAAATAAATTGGTTACGACAAATTTGGAGAAACAATCTATGGTATGAAAGGTTTGGCTCTCTGGATTTATTGGAAAGAGCGTAGAAGGGAAGGAACCATGGGAAGATTGGTCTTTGTTTTTACATGCACGCTCCAAACAACCACGTCTACTCTCAGCATATCAACCTCCCCGCTACGATGGAACATATCTGCCTGGATTTCACTTACGGAGAAAACCCGAAAAAGAAAAACACTGAAAAACTGTCAAAACTTCAAAAAACAAAGCTTCATTTAAATACCCATGAATTGATATGAGTAATTCTGAGATACTGTTAAAGCGCTGTGGATTGTTGTTAGATTCCTGGGAGTTTCAAGTACTGTAAGTCTTTTTGTATTATAGCCTTAGATAATTACAATGCGATGAGTTTCAAATTTCTGATGTTCCCACAAGTACATGAACAAGGACAACAAAGTCTTACTAAGAAGAAAAAGTTGCGGTTTGTTTATCTCAAATTTGACGAGTAAAGATCATATAGATGTACAGTATTAGATTTATAGCACATGGTATAATCATTTGTAATCTTACCACTAGCATACCCTATTTACACTACTTATCTTTTTAAAGTATCGATAATTGACCGAAATACCCCCTAATTTATTATAAATCACTAAAATACCCCCTGCGTAATTAGATTTTGACAGAAATACCCCCTAAATTAATACCCCTCGAAAAGGTCGAAAAAAAGGGGTAGGTTTGTTACTACATTAGAAATAAGGGGTAGTCCTGTTAGTATCGCTTAAAAAGAGGGGTATTTCTATTAGAACATCAGAGTTATAAGATTCTATTTCTTTATAGTTTTCATAGAGTATTATACCAAAAAGTCAATAAACAAAGTAAATTAGTCTATTCGTACTTACTTCCTACCTCGTTGTGAGAGGCCAGACCTCGAATAGCTCAAAGGTGTGGTTTCGAATATTCAATTAAGAAGTGCGTGAAGACTACATACATACAATCTCTTCCTCTATATATAGAGAGAGGAAGAGTTTCTGGAGTCTTCCAAGAAACTGTTTGACAAATACGTGACGTCAAAAGAATAATCTCTTCCTCTATATATAGAGAGAGGAAGAGTTTCTGGAGTCTTCCAAGAAACTGTTTGACAAATACGTGACGTCAAAAGAATAGAGTAGAAAAGTGTAGAAAAGGAGAAACCAATTTAGCAGTGGAGCAATGGCCAATGCTGAGCGGGGACTTTGGTCAGTGCTTAGCGAGGGCATGGCCCGAGCCTCCATCATGGGTTCCAACCCTCACACCTAGTCTTCCTGTACATTATCAAAGGCGCTAGCGTCTTCTTGCTGTACTAGCTGTTAAGATTACGCCGTAGTACTGGATGATCCTCGCGAAGCCTCTTTAGATACTGGCTAGCTAGCATAGTAGTAGGAGTAGTAGTATTAGTGGTGTTGGTTATAGAGATGGTGGTAGAGACAGGTTATTGTTATACAAGGAAAAAGGTATTAGCGGCATGGCGCTGTAGCTTTCATTCACTAGAAAATAGGTGTAGTACCATATAAAAAAAAGTAAATGTTAACTGATAGAACTACCCTACTTTCTAAGCGATAGTGATAGAACTACCCCTTTTTTTCGACCTTTTCGAGGGGTATTAATTTGGGGGGCATTTCTATCAAAATCCAATTACGCAGGGGGTATTTTAGTGATTTATAATAAATTGGGGGGTATTTCAGTCAACTACCGTTAAAGTATAGACACTTCAGGATACTTTTCTCTTTGTAAGTACAGACTTCAAGTAGACATAGGCACAATATCATCGATATAATGCAGGAACCCCGTTACATTCTCTCCACCAACCGTTTTCTTATGAGCATAAGCTGTGAGAAGACAGATGCTTCGTGACCAAGGACAAATACGGTTTTTTGAGATACTACATGAATAGGATTGAAGCCACAAGATATCCAACATGCCTTAGATAAACAAACGTTTGAGTTAAGCTAGCGATATCCTGCGTCGTACCCTGCAGTGTATATGGGAGAGAAGGAAGATGTTCCCAGTATTGAAGTAGATAGTTTTGAAGATATTGAAAGTAAATGGACCCTCCGAAAATAGAGCTGTCTGTCAATTGATATACGAGCCCGTGTAAATCTGAATACATAAGCACACCTACAGGCCAAGTGATATAGTTGTTTGTGTCGCAAAAATGAGTCCCTTGGTCAGACAGTAATTGTTCTGAATGATAGAGTAACAGCTTCAGTGAGGATTAACGTTGTTCGTTGCAGACTGCAACATGACCCAGAATCCGTTTTCTGAGTCTCTGATGCCTTGATTGTCGCAGGAGTTGGTTCTGGACTTTTGGCACAGTTGTTTAGTATTAGAGCCGCTTTGCGATTTTGGCTTCGATCCTCATTACGATTCTTTGGTGGCTTCTTGTCCTTGGCGTTCTGGACACTTTTTCTGAGTCTGTGATGTATGTTGGTATTGCCTTCGAAAACTGCTTCAATCATGTCCGTTACGGACCACAAATTGCCTACGAAGATAGATATTATCTCTGTTCCTTTCATGCGAAATTCGTGTCTATCAGGACCCACAAACTTCGCTACAAGGCTTGCACCATTCTCAAGTAGTGTAATTATAATTTCGCTCCAGGTTACAAGCAGGTATCCTGGTGTTTCCTCCTTTTGCTTGTAAACGAGTACGTGTGATAAGAAGTTCTTCCAAGGCGTGGATCCGTTAAAACGCAACTTTGGCCTTGCCCCGAATTTGATCAAGAGTTTTACAGTGCGGGGCGTGAGAAAAGTATTGCCTTCAAATGGTACTAGTGCGTCCAATGCTGGCTTATCCAGGGCGTCGTGCTCTAAATGATCGTCGTCTTCTAATCTCAGTTGCAAGTAGCGACAAAGAGATGTTGTAATGGCGGCATGTATCATCGAGGGCCAGTGAGCAGCTTGTGCAAAAGTGTCGCAAAGGTAGAGAAGCTCATCGTCAGAAAGGCGCTTGTCCAAATCAATTCTTCTGGCGTAGGTCAAACCCTGGTTTTTCATCGTCCGACCAATGTCTCCCTCCCGTTCGCTTTCGCTGAGTTGTCCGATCTGAATAGCGAGGGATTTGAAAATTGCAACAGCAGGTTTGAAGGCACTATTTTGGTATCCACCAGTTCGCTGCAAAAGAACAGCTCGAGTTTTTCGCGCCTCAAGGAAATCTCTGACCGTTCGATGTAGATAAGAGACTCCCATCGATGGAGTAAGTTCTGCAGTTTTGTGCTTTCCGTGCTGGACCTCTATGGCAAAGGGGCGTGAGTTAGTGGTTTTATTTGTGGAGATAGCCAGATGAGCGCATGAACAGTGTTACTTTCAGCATTTGAACCAGGAAGAGCAAAGTGCTAGAAGGGCGTAATCAAAGCGTCGCATCACTTACCGATCAGACCACCACACCTAGTTTTGAGCAACACATCCATTCTTTTTGCTTGCTCAAGTAAAACAGTCTTATCAGTAGACGGTATCTTGATCTCACTAGCTATATCTAAGTCTTTTCTCGAAGCAAGTGAGAGTGTACGAAGCGACAGCAAATTAGCCGGTTCCCAGTCGCCTGGTTGTTTTATAGCCTCTGCTATGAGTTGGTAAAGACGTGATGCTTCTTCAGCATAAAAGCCATCGACTTTCAAGAATATTTCCTCATACAAGTTATCTAGATCCTTGGGCAGCATTTTGAGTCGTGCTTGTAAGTCATAAATATGGTCATGGTTGCTGAGTCCATTGATCAGAGATGATACAACAAGCATTACCCACAGAAAAACACCCTGGGCACTATCAACAATCTCATTTACAAGGTCCCGACATTCTCCCGGTTCCTTGGAGATGAGAACCCTCATCATCTCATCATTGACCAAGCGATCTTGAATATAACGATGAATGTCAGTTTCCGTTAAATCCTGTAATCGAAGCATTGGGTATTCTGTAAAAGCGTCTTCGAATGGAACGTGGGGGCGGCTACTGACGCAGACTTTCACGTTCTGCGACAAGACCACACCTTTGAAAACCTTAGCTATCTCCACTTCCAAGCCTTCATACTCGTCCAGCCCATCGATGAACAGACACAATTTGATGGGAATTTCGTTTTGGGCAATAAGACTTTGAAAGGCGGCAGAAAGAGATGAAGTGGTTAAGGAATTGAGCTGTTAACGGTTTAGCTAATTGATGAATCAGGACGAGGACGACAATACTTACTGACTGTAGCTTAGAGAAACCATTTTTGGCGAGATACAACGATTTCCATAGGGATGGAAAAACTGCCGCAATCAATTCAGGAATTTGCTGGAGAATATCAAAGAATAGAGAACGAAGTAGGCCATCTTGAGACTTTTGTACTGCTGTCCCGCGCCACCAAATGAAGAATGGGGGGACATGAAGGGTGGTCTGTTTTGACCAAACCTGTAAGTGATCACGAGTTCGGGGATTCTCGTAAATATACTTCATCAATGTGGATTTCCCAGAACCAGCCTTGCCGTTGATCCAATATATACCATTTTCTTCTCGAAGCCAGTGAACAAAATCACTCCATTGCGGCTCGCCTAAGCCATCGCCAACTTGTTTCATGGGCTCCAAAATCCATTCGAACGTCTTCCTGTGAGCTTCGGAGATACCCTCATAACGCCTCATTGATAGTTTCATACCGCAGGCTGTCAAGAATGTCCTGTGTCATAGCCTTGTGTAAAATGGCTTCCCTCTGTTGAATCCGAAAAAAGAACTTTTCATCATTGTCCACATTTTCCTTCTTATCTTCCTCCTTGACATTAACATAGTTAGAAGAGCGTTCTCTGGGACTCTCAAGCAAGCCTTTGTGGATTTGATCTATGTCTTTGAAGTTTTTTACTTCTCGATTAACAAGCGCTTCAATCACCATCGTATGCTTTTGCAGATCGCTGTTCATTGAAGCGTTAATATCGAGTAGAGCGCTGGCAAAGATTTGACGAATATCATCATCGATGGAAGTCTTTTGTGCATACTGCTCCCTGACGACCTGATCGACCCTCTCCCTGTTATGGCAAGTCAGCTTCAATCAAATTTATACAAGATAGCACTCCCTTACCACAAAGAGCCCAAGAGTCGAGAATTCATCATATCTCGATATCGGGCAAGTTTCTTTTCGGCTTCCGCAAGCTCTTTCGAGGACCACATACTCTTAAGCACGTGCCCCACACTTTTCAAGAGGTTTTGTTTCGGGGTGATTTCGAAGTTTTTCAACTGAGTGATCATTTCATCTGCAACCCTGCCACACTCTTTGCATAATACCAAGAGCTCTTTTTCGTTGTTTCTGAGGCTTGATTGACCTGGCCCTATGAGAATTGAGCGCTTCATCTCCGCTGAAATTGCTAAGGTCTTCTGCTGCTTTGGAGGTCTGCTCATGCACATCCAGTCTCCCCTCTTCATACAACTGTCGGGTTCCGGAGTATATTTTGAAAGAAAAGTCTATGAACTGAGCTACGTTGCTGGCGAGAGACAGGCAAGATATTGGATCCATCCTGAAGCTATCCTGATCCTAAGGCTTGGGGCCTACACCGTCCCTCGCTTAGGTTTGCGATCGTTGACATAAGATGTTTAAAGGAATTGTAGAGTGTTTTCAAAATCAAAGAGAAGAGACGAATAACAGAAGTGAGAGCTTGAATGATCGCAGCCTCCAGACTTCGGTGGAGCTTCCCAATCGGGATTTCGGTCAGCACCTTTTAGCGAGGCTGAGTATCCAGAGTGATTGCGACAGTAGTCTATGTGTTTGAAGGAATTGTTTTCCACCAAGGTTCTGTAATCTCAGGCAGCCAGATGTGTATAGCAGGAGTGAAAATCTAGACGATAAAAGCTTGAGGGGTTCAGGAAATGGGGTGTTCATTTCAAGTGGGGCTTCGTGTAACCCCCCTTTAACGGAAGGACCTCGGATAAACTCGGTAGACGAGGGCCAGTCGGCGATAAGAAAAAGGCGAAAGCTTATCCACTATCCGCCCGCCAAAGTCTACAGGGGTTGGTTGCTATCGTGAGCTTCCTCAAGTTGCAAGTCTTTACAACATCCACGCCACATATAGGTACAGTTCGATCGTCTACAATTTCCTACATGCCTAGGATAAGTATATCTCTGCCATATCTATGCGCTCGGAGTCTGCGATCTTCCCGACCCCGCAATGCCTGTCCACTCAAAGCTCGGCGGGCGAGGCTCTTTTCTCAAACGCCACAGCGAAACTCTCAGCATGATAGCTCTATGACAGAGCAAGAAACCTCCTCTTCTATCGAAACACAGATTCCGCTCACATTATCGAAAGATAGCTCCTCGCACAGGCAAACAAATGACGTCGCGGAACAGGGAGCTATGTCTAGAAGGCTTGCAGAAGCAACAGAAGATGCCATACTTGAAGGTGGTCGTGCTGGCAGAAAAGCAGTCGAAGAGGTCGGGTTTTCTGACGAGTTGAAAGAGAGACTTTTGGAGAGAGTGAAGGCGCATACGTTTCGTTCCGAGAATGCATCGGCTTTTGCAGAGGCAAGCTTGTCACCAAAAGTAGGCGGCGGTTCACGGGACATCGCCGCTGCACAGGCTTGGACTGGCGAGGAGAATCCAGAGGATACTATACTGCGAATGTTGGACGATGCGAAGAAGCCATTGAAGCCTGGGCTCCGAGGTTCTGCGAAAATCCCAAGTCCAGTCATAGATTTGAGATTGAGACATGAGCCCAAACAACGCCCAGGACAAAGATTGGCAAACGCACGAGACAAAATTTCCATTTATTCGATTTCGAAGGATACTCAAATGTCGGATGATGAGAGACAAAAGATGCGACAAGAGTTGAAGGATAGGTTTTCACCCGACGCTCGAGCGATGCCCAATTCCATACGTGGACTCGCTGCACTTGCTAATGAAAGAATTGAGGATGCCATTGCCCGAGGGCAATTCAAGGTACGTACTGCGGCATTCGAACTAAGTATTTGTATTGATAGTTTCAAGAACATACCTCGGGGCAAAGCAATCGAACGAGATTCGAGAGCAGACAACCCCTTTGTGGATACCACCGAATACATTATGAATAAAATGATCCAGCGGCAAGATATCGTGCCACCCTGGATTGAGAAACAACAGGAACTGGTTAAAACTGCCCACGTTTTCCGAGCTCGGTTACGAAATGATTGGACAAGACAAGCTTCACGAACGATAGCGAGTCGTGGGGGTACTCTCGAACAACAAATGCGTCAAGCAGATCTGTACGCGGAAGCTGAGCGAGCATACAATCCTAAAAGGAGAGCTGTTGAGCAAGTATCAGTTCCAACGAATGCTACTAGTGATCCAGTAATGCTCAGCATTACGAGTATTGCCAGAGCGGAGAGCCAATCCAATAGTCCCATTATACAGGTGTCATTGGAGACAAAGGACTCCGAGAACGCTGCCGCAAAATCTGCCGAGTCTGGTGTTCAGAAGAGTCGCTCTCTCTCTGATTCTAAACAAATTAAGCCACTCCCTACACCATTCCGTATTCCTGAGTGGGAAAAGTCAGAGTTGTCGTATCTGAGTCTTGCCATCACAAATCTCAACAGTATAACGAGATCGTACAATCTCATGGCTCCTGATCTTGCTAAGAAACCCTACTTTTCACTTGATCGAGAACTGAAATCCTGTTATGCTGATGTTGCTCCAACTTTGTCACAGGTAATCAAAGAACGAGCGAGTCGTCCGACCAAGGAATCTGTTAAGAAGATAGGTCATAAACCAGGTGGGGTGTTGGAACGGTTTACGAAGGATACATCAAAGATTTATGATTCCAAGAGGCCGTTATATGGGTTCAAGGAATTTTGGGCTGATTTGTTCGGGGAGAAGAGGGCATAAGTTGTAAAACACTAGAAAATATATAGAATTCAGAGGCAAGAAGGTAAATCTACCGCTAATCCCCCCTTTCATGAATTGGAAACATGGCGCTAGGTCGTATAAGCGAGAAGCTAGGCGTAGCATTGAAGTTCATCGCACCTTCTCTAAGTCTTTCGATCACCAAAACTTGGAAGCCGTACCTGCGTATTGACGTGCTTGCCAGTCAAATCTGTCCGTAATGCAAGCCCGGCTTCTACTCCACCTCGATGTCTCCTCATCAAAATTTTTGGATTGCACTCTGCGCGCATTTTTGATTCATTGACGTTAAGTTCAAAGGTTACCGCTGCATACATCTACCTGTATACAACAACCTTCAATTACTCATAGAATTTGGGTGTCAGTATTCTCAGTTCATAAATTTACGACTTGGATCGGACGACAGGCCCATATCGAGCATTGGCGATCTTCGAGCAATAATGAGGTCTAGTTCTCCATGTGAGGCTGCCGAGGAACGTCGACATTCCATCTTCTCTACTGCTACAACTGCCTTCCTACAACGTTCCCCGATCAGCCTTCAGTGTCGTCGGAGCCTTCGAAAACACAAGAGAGGATTTGAAGGAGAAGATGAGGTACTGTCACATGCAAGCTTTACTTCTGGAGATGGCTCGCCTAAATCGTCGTCAATGATCTCATATCGAGAGGATCCATGGGTAATCAGTTCGAATGATATCAGTTCAAGTGGTTAGCAATCAAGAATAGAAGGCAAAGAGCATTTTGCTGACTGTGTCCAAGGCTTCAACGATTTGAAGACTCGAGAGAAAGCAACGAGCCCGTCGGATTTTACCTCTTTGATTGCGCAACGTGAAACCCCTCCTAGCTGTAAAAGAGAAGTCTCAAACTTGACTCCGCCCCGCTTGTCTATGCGACGTCCAAGTATTGAATTTCCTTCAACGAGTTTGTCAAACCACACTTTCGATCCCGAGAATTTTGAAAGGCAACTCCAAGACATTCGAGAAGCAAACCCATTCTGGTTCTCTCCATTACGTGCTTCGACATTGCCGCCAAGTTACGAGTCACCTTGGTCGGAACGTTCAAACAAGACACTCAACCCGGAACAATTTAAAGAGCATCTCGAGAATATTCAACGAGATACTAACATGTTCTCTAATCTGGAAGTTCTCGAGGTCCAAGATTTCACTACTCATGACCTGGATTGGGACTCAACACCAGAAGTCGCAACTCCATCCTCAACGGGCTCGTTCGAAGCGCGAGGTTTCAACTCGCCAGTCCATGGTACATGTTCATATCTTTTCAATGAACTGACAGCCAGAAACATGATAGATGAGAAAGCCGAGAAAACTTCTCCTCGCGACCTTGAAAAGAATCAAGTATCATTCGAAGAGATCTTTCAAATGCATCAAGAACCTCAAACACACCTTTCATCGTCACCTAAGAGAAAGAGGGAAGCCTTCGGCGGCCATGGAGGATCTGTCGATTATCGGTCTCCTCAACAAAATAGCCCACAACGCATTCCTAGAAAAGAGGGAGCATCTCTTCCAGCTGAATTTATGTACTCAAATCCATTAACAACCACCAAACCCAAACGCTGTTTTTTGTCTGAAAAGGAATCCCAAGACGGAGTGGATCCCTCTTCAAGCCCATCAAGCCCGCCGCTGAAGCGACGAAGAGTAGATTCTGAGAAAAATAACAATGGTACACCCTCTATGAATGGAGGAAACAAGGCCATATTCTCTGTTTGGAGCAACGGTAAAACTGGCGCTACAAAGAGGAGATTTCTGCGGGAGCGAAGAACGCAATATACCCCTTCTTGTATAAAGAATCCAAGCGTGGCTTCTTCCCAGAAAGAAAACGAGTGCCAAAATCCGTTCAGATTGCAAGACGCAACCTTTATTTTCTCTTCACCAGTGAAGGTTGTCTCGAAACCACGTGGTCACCAAATCGTTAGTGAATTTGAAGATCGTGCTAAATTAACCAAGCCATTTAGAACTGGAGCGGACGGTTCTCCTAATTCACTCGCTTCGCACGCTAAGCTTAAAAAAATGAATCACAATAAAGCGGTCGAGGAAGGAATCTGTCACCCAAGTTCAATACAAAAACCATTTAAAAATAACGCGTCAGACTCCAACATCCCCTCCCTAAAAGTTTCTTCCCTCTCAGCTGAGCAATACACAACACCATCTCCAGTGACCACCATAGTCAATATCGCACGTGGATTACAACACGAGTACGAACACACAGAAGAATTCTTAATCGATTTGGAGAGCGCAAGCCAAGTAGCGGAGAGCTCGGAGAGCCCGGAGGTTGAAAGCCCTATCGGAAGCGAAGAGTCCGAAGAAATGAGGACGAGACACCATATCGGAAGCGAAGAGTTCGAGGAATTGGCCACAGCATTGAGGACGAGAGAAGAGAGTTCGGAGCCTATAAACCAATCTGGGCCCTCAAGTCGCAACCAAAATATTGAGCCATCACCTTACGACTGGAACTATTGGGAGTCTATCGTACTACAAGGAGTTGATCGAATCGAACGTGAAGCTCAAGCTGCCGCTTCATGTGAAGCTCAAAGACAGGAGTGGGAGGAAACCCGGGGTCCAGATGACGGACCTGAGACTCAACTAGGAGCGTTCCGCCAGTTCTACGATACTAACCATCAAGCTCAAGACGAGAACAGAGACCAGGAACAGGAACAAGCTCAAGTAGAGCAACTTGGACAGCCGCCGCATTATCGCCAGATCCAAGAGATTATTTCTGAAGGCCGCAATTTTATTGAGGACTCTCGATCTCAACATGAGACTCACATCGCAGCTGAGCAACAACCACCACAACCACAGGAACTATGGCAAGAGACCCTTTCTGGGAATGGCGACGCTTTCGATGAGTTCCGAGCTCATATCACGCCAGGCTTCTCCCCGAGTGAGCTTTCCAACCCGTCTTGGTCGAGTATGCAGACCAGACGACGCGGCTCAACCGTGTGTCCGCATTGTGTTGATTTTATTAATTCGCCGACGGTACAGTTGAGATGTCGAGCTTGCGGGAGGGATATCAGTCGAGGTGAGGAGGGGGGTATGATGTTTGGTCCACTGGATGGCAATGGAGGTCCACTTTCACTTTATTATACCGAGGAGGCGGATGAGGCGTATGAGGAGTGGATGAGAGATTGGGTTGTTGAGAGGGTTTAGGGGATACAGGAATTATACTTGTAGAGACAGAGGTGACGTAGGAAAGGCGCAGATTGAGTGGTTCATAGAATACAGTTATATTGTTCCGAGTTAGGTGTGTCTTTAGCAATGATCACGCCTATTATACTCTAACGTTCTGTGTGGGCTCTCTCTTATTTTATTCTGTGATCGTTAAGCCTGATTCTCTCTCATGTAAGATGTAAGGACTTCATGATCGAATCGAAACACTTATCGATGGAGATGTACTAGTAATGGGTTTATTACTTGTGGCTATTGGCTGGAGAATTATTTATAGATACCTGGGTAGATGAGTAGTATATTGCTAGAAAGTAGTTATAGTAAATACAGTTAGGAAATATTCACCAAGTAAGATACCTATATCTTTGCAATCCCATTATCTTCATTTTCGAGTCCTCGGCATGCTTCAAAAAGCATGTTAGGAGGTGCGATGTGGAATGAGATATCGAGGGTGTCCCTCAGGTTGGGGTGGGTTGACATTACATGTCCACGGATTCCAGTACTGTAGATTCCACGTGACTGTATTGGAGTGATTGGCTGTAGAGTAGGTGATTTCGGGGGGAATGGGGGTTCTTTGAATGGAAGGAAGTGAGTTCGCTTAAGTTAGGGTATTTCGAATGGTCGCGATGGTCTTGCTTGGACGGTTATTCTGGATGTGTTGAGGGCTAGAATCGTCCGATTTCTTCTTCGAATGGGAGGTAGTGAGTTTTTGGGAAGGTGCTCGTTATTAGAGGGGAATGTAAATAGGTCTTGGTTTGAAGATGGATGCTGCTTGTTTCTTCTTCCAAGACGCTACTGCTGCTAATACTGCGGTTTGACGGCGGAAAAGGCGTTTTTAATTCCATCGTGATATGACGATGAGGTGGTGAGATGACGATGAGGTGGTGAGATGACGAGGTTTCCATTACCGTTGCCTGTTGCTGCTTCCATATCGCATGACCATGCTTATACGAAGTATCCTTCTGATTTCGTTTCTTCCCAAATCCAACCTCAGGTCATCACGGCACCAACGAAAAACCCAATTCCAGAACCATTCAACCAGCCCGCTTCGACAGCTCCAATCACCAGCCATCCCGAAGACCAGGTCGGCCTCTCGGGAGTCCTCCGGGAGCAGATGCCATCACCAGCCATGGCGGTTCGTGGACCTATTCGTGGCCAATAAGGGGACCCGTCGATTGTGATGGGTGCCGTGGAAATGTGATGGGTGCTCGATCCTCCCGAAACGCGTCGACGATTGGTAGATTTTGGAGACGCGTAGAGTGTTTTTTTTTTTCGGTGATTTGGACCTATCGCGGGGTTCTTGGATGGTGGTTGGGTGGAAAAGGAAGTTACATGCAAGGTGCTTCCCTTGATTTGGCCGGTTTTTGAGCGCGGGATTTTCTTTTAGGTGGTGGCCGTGTGGGAACGACGGTTGTAGATTTACGACTCATCGTATAGGTACTCAGGTAACATGGACTTGGGATCATCCTGTGAGACTGAGCTCTAGGTAATATCACAACCGATACGGAGTGAATATAAGTCTAACTTGACCTGCAAAACCCGCGGAAATATACTCGGAGGAGATGCCCTCACGGGGATTAACCTTTCATTCAATCAGCTTTAATAGAGAAAGTCCCTGCCAAGAGGATACTGTCAATCAATTAGTCGCTCCAAAAAGAAGGAGTGGCCCGTACCTGAAATCAATGTTAATTAACTGAGAAGTCTGATAGGCTCCATCTCGGTTGCAGAAGTAGTAGCGTAGCTGGTACCTGCATGGTCATTGTAACACTAGTAAGGAGAGATCATGAGGCCATTCCGTGATACTTTACCTAGGTACCTGGTGCTACTCTGTAGCCGAGTCAGATGATACTCGTACAAACACGGAAATATACCTGTGCTTGTTGAACCCTCCTTCTTGAGCTCCGTAAGGGAAGAATGTCGAGGTAGTACCAATAAATTTGAAGCCAGAATTAGGGCTAACCATGGTCTCTCTTCCAATGATCCCCGGTATACACTGTACCAGTACTTGATCCCAAGAGCCTCTTTGGCTTGTTGTCGCTCCACTGCCGTAGAGACCACCTCAGACTGTAGATATCACGATGACCCCTCCCCTGTTCTCACGGCCAACCCTTGGCCCACAGAGGGAGACCTTGTAAAAACGTTGGCGGGCTCGCTGCAGTGGCTGCAGTGGCTGCAGTGTGCAGTCTGATCGTCGTTCCACTGCTTCGACAGCTGCACTCTTCGCTCTCTGCCGTGAACCTAATCCACCTGTACCCTGCCATTCCATCTCCAAATCTTCTCTCTCTCTCTCACTTGGAACTCGGACATCCTCACTTCGCCCACTCCTCACCTTCGACTTCGACTTCGACTTCGACTTCGACTTCATCGACTTCGCGACATCTTATTTTTATCTCCACTTCAATGCATCCTTACCCAGACGCATTGTATATGTCCGTCTCCCCCCTCTCTTCCCGCGCGCATAATGTAATTACCTGAACAAACGAGGTCCATCGCCATCCCCTCTACCTACCCTCCACCCTCCACCCTCCCACACACGCGATCGCGAAACCATTCACGTAGACAACCCGCGACTTCAACCAATTCCATTCCCGCTCTCCTCCACCGCCAATTCACTATTCACTATTCACGATCCCGATCCCCACGCGAGGCCTTCACTACCACGTACAAGCGAACCAAACATCCGAGCGTTGGGAATAGCTGATTCACCCTCCATTGGCACCTGCCACCAGCTGGTACGCGACACCCTCACCAACTCACTTCACCGCCAACCACTTCACCTGGGGTCCTTCTTGCATTTCACCCCACCACCATCACTCCTCCAACCTATGTCTTTGTATCCACTTCAACACGTTCTACCAGTTGCCCAGGTCCCAGCTTCTCCGGTGTAAGAGTTATACAAACAAGACTTGGTCCACAATACCAGCCTTCACATTGACTTGCAAATCCTCAAAACAGACGTCGAAATCAAAGAATATGGAGGATAGTAGCCAGGGCTCACATAGGAGTAGATTGCTACGACCAGAATCTAGTTCCTCAAACCACACCAGAATGACGCCCGCCAGTAGCAGCAATGGCTCCTCTGCCCATCTCCCGACTCGAATGAATCCCAATTCCAGTGGCAGAACCACTCCTTCTGGCGGCGCAAGTTTGTTACAAGAGAGATTGAGAGATCGAAAGGTCGAGGCTTCCAGGAGTTTACGGAGGGGCAGTGTGGACTCGCACCACCTGAGAGATCGAGAAGTTCAGAGTTCCCCCATCACTAGAGAAGACAAGAGACCAAGTTCTGGTGGAGTCAAAGCATTGGGAGTCAAGTCCATGGAAGAGGTAAGCTTAAACCCATGGCTATTATAACTAGGTGTCTAATAATGTCTAGCAAGCTTCAACCTTACATAAACAGAACTTTGACTTGAAATTGGAACTCTACCATCGCCGCCAAAAACAAGAAGATCTTGAAAATAGATTGGAGGCTGCGGAAAAAAGGATTGAGCAACAGGCGGAAACGGAAGAAATCAATGATCAACTGGTGGCCGAGATGGAGAAGCTGATTGCAGAGTTGGAAACCAGGGAACAAGCATTGGAAGAGGCGGTCACCGTCATCGTACGTTTGGAGGACGAGGTCGAACAACTGAAGAAGGAAAGAGAACGTGTACAATCTATTGAAGCCGACTACCAGTCTACCTACTTTCGACTCAGCCATAAAGGTGATTATCCCAGCTCTCCTCCGGAATTTGACGATCGGAAAACTACTCGGTCAGGCAATTCAGTCCCTCGAATGCCCTCATTTCTATCCGAGAAGAGCGAGGGTACTGAAGCTTTGAGAAGCCTCTACCTCCCAACATCTAAACGCAACTTTAGCGAAGCCACGTTAGCTCCAGGTGCAGATGTAACACCAGCAAACGGCATGGATAGCCCACGTCTTAGTATGTTGAGTGAAAGTTCCTTCGTTAGCGTCTATGGTGAGAAATCAATGCAACTGGACAACGGCCCGCATCGACCAGAGTCGCCATCACCTCCAAGACGACATCGCGCCAATAGATCGTCAGTCGAGAAATGGATCGACGAAAGGCCTGCGACGGTTGTTCCAGCAAGACAGGTGTCTCGTAGTGGACTGCAAAAGAGCCAATATAAATCCATAAACAGCATGATGGAGCAGCTCGATTCGCCATTACAACGTTTGGAAAAGTTGAAATATACCTTGAACAAGCACAACAGCTCTCAATCTGTCTCCCAACGGTCTTTACAACCCCCTGCATTTTCATCCCCACGTCGGCTACGAACTGCCAAAGAATCGTCTCGTGGAAGTTTGTCAAATCAAGACAGCTTCGAGCAACGAAATCTTCCACCAACACCAGATACTTTCACCAGTGATACATTACGGAATTTACAAAAGTTGCAGGGTGAGCGATCGGCCTCGGAAAACCCCCCCACAAGGGAAGATAGCTTTCTAAGTGGTAAGGCGTTGTTCCCGCCTGGTTATCCTTCTCGTTCTCGCTATCCTTCAGATTCCAGCAGTCGGCCCCGCAGTGCTGGCGAGACTATTAGAAGTCGACGCGATGGACATGGATGGGAAGCGGAGGCTCAAGGTGATTTCGCAGAGACGGCCAGTATTTCAAGTGCATCAAGTATGTATAATGGACCCGGAACTCAAAGTCGAAAGCGCGTGGTCACCCCAGATCTATTTACATTTGGCAACCAAGACAGAGAATGGGGACCTGAAGCCACATACAACACTTCGGCACACGTTCCACATTCTTCAAATGCTGCTGCAGATCAATACAGAGCTGCTCGCCGATCCAGCATGTTTGAGCACCCACAGAGTGACGATCCCGTTCTCCCAAGAAGCGCCAGAATAACCGACCTGAGCAGCAGCGGAACCGTCTCCCCACCTGATCGTCACTCCTCGCTCTCGGCAGCTACCAAGCTAAAGAAGAACCCACCGAATGATCCACCTACTCCAACCCAACCATCTCAGCAGCCAGCAGCAGCTTCACCGGCAAAGAGTTCCAAAATCTCCCAATTATCTGGCAAGTTATTTGGAAGAGGTGGCCGGTCGGAGGTTTGCCCTGGCTCTCCGAATAAAGCTCAAGGTTTCCGAACTCCTCTGAGTGAGGAGTTTGGCGAGGAAGCTAGAGCTACGCCACCTCCCATCAGACGGAATCGTACTTCTATGCCTGCGTCTGTAACTCTGGGTGGTGGTGAAGCACGACCTACTACTGCCGCGGGGTTTGGACCCGGGCGACGGGCCACGGACTTTTCCGCTTATGACGGGATTGCTGAGAATGGGCAGGTAGTTAATGGTACTCCTGATGTGGAGAGTAGTGAGGGTAAGAATTCGCCGCTTAGTGGTGGGATGGGGAGGAAATGGTTTGGGATTGGACGACCGGGGAGTGGGAGTGTTTCAAGGAGGCATTAGATGAACCGTTTTGTCTGAATTGGTTGGATGTTCTTCGAACCCACAGATGAGCAGTCGATGAGATGTTTATGTGTTTTTGCATGTCGCTGGAAAAGGAAGGTTATTTATGAAAATGGGGTCTGGTCTCGGTTGGTTGGGGCTGGGGCTGGGGTTTGCCTCTTTACGATCGTTTTTTTTTAGCGTATGGTTGGGTCAGGTTACAAAATGGGATAGGAATCATAGGATGGTGACTTCGGCCTTGATCAATGATGATGCCCTGAAGTATTTTGTTTTTCTTTCTTTTTTGCTTTCGTTTCCGATACTGTATCATAGGATTTGTTATGTTACATACCCTTTGCAGTTTGGTTTGATTTGGTCTCTTCGCTCGTTTTTTGTATGAGTTGATAGGTGGATGAGATGGATGGGAAGCCCTTTTTTTGTTGGTGAGCGAGGAAGAGGTGGAAGTGGAGCGAGGCGTAAGAACGTGCATGTGGAGGAAATAGTGGAAATGAAAATTCTTGTGTATTTTCAAATGAGCAGAGGAACGGGGGGGTTGATGCGTGATTTGTGGATGGTGGGTGATTTGAGATGCGTAGATTGGTAGGTCCATGGGTGGGTTGGAAAGCTTAAGAGCACGTGGAACGTTAAGGCCTTGATTACTTGTAGACACGTGATAGACTTATCTCGCTTGAGCGTAAGCGAGGTGGCTTGAGAGTGGATAAGGGGCACGAAATGAAGCTGACTAAGAGGTGCGTGTGGTTAAGCGAGGATGGTTATTCACTTCATCTTTCATTCATTTTACTCGTTTTATTCTGCCTACACTGACTAATGAATATTCTATATATCGTATAGTCAGAAGTTTGGGTTTTGATGTTTTTTGGGTTAGCCCTTTCCCTTTTTGTTGTGGTGGTACTAAGATGTGAAAGAAAGAAAAACGACGTACAAAGAGCGGACTCCCTTTCCATTGTTCTTTGCCCCTCCGTATGGTAATAAAGAGACGCATTGAGTTCTCTGATGAATGCGTACAGGAAAGTTTGTGGATGGGATCTTTTTCTCCTTGGACTGGGGATCTTGATCTTGGGTTAGTAGATTGATGCTGATGCTGGGTAGTCGACTTTTTATTAACACTGAAAAAAAGAGAGAGAGAGAAAGAGGTGTTTTTACGCCAGCCTGGATTTGAATTGGAAATTGGATTTTGAATTTTATTTAAGTTCTAAACTTTCGAGAGAGAAAGAGAGAGTGTGTGTGTGATATTGGTCAAATTAAAAGAAGGAAGGCAGGCTACTATACTACAAACAAGCATCGATATATCTAGATACAGTACTCTAGCGAATATACCATTCCTCGATCAAAAGCCACCCCAACGAGTCCATCTAAAAAACGAAAATAACACAACCCATCCTCCCACCACCACACCACCATGGAAACCCGCAGCAAAAAACGCAAAGCCGCTCTCCCCCCCGACGAACCCCCACCC